ACAACAAGAAAAGACGGATATTGTCGACTCTTCTCTTCCAACTGCAACCTTTTTTTCTATAGAGGTTATTTATCATTTAACTACCATTTAAAACAAATTTCACATAATGAAACACATTCACTTAAATATTTTTTTTGCATTCTAGATTGTTTCAGGATAATCAACTGAAATAATAATATGTATGTATATAAGAAATATAAATCCCTTAAAAAATACGATTAGTTTCATTTTTTTTTGTGGATATTTTTTTTTTAAGTTTGGCATCAAAACTTTGTTTTTATAAAAAAGTTTTGAACAGACCTTACAGAAATGTCTGTTTAAGATACCAAACTTCAACTGTTTGGGTATTATAGGAGTATACTGAAAAAATTTTGAAAAATCCCATAGGATCCATGGTTCATACAAACAGACATTCCGATTTATTCAGACAGACGGAGGTACAGAACGACGTTTTCAAAAGGTGATTCTAATCAACACCTGCAAACTTTTGCGTATTAAGTGTGCCTTACGACTCTATGAAACGTCTGAAAATGAAACCCTTTAGACAGATTTGGCCATATAGAATCGGAAGGTCATCCTAACATAAAAATATGTGTTTCGGTGATAAAATGATTTTAGAAAAAAAAAAACAAGAAAGGAAAGCTAACTTCAGGCGGAGCCGAAGTTGATACAGTTGCAGTTCGACCAAATATGTAGGTCGCAAGTATCGGATATAGTTGGTCGATCCTAATATAATTTGTATAATAAAACCAATTTATTAGAATACCAAATTAAAAAAAGTTCCAAAATTCTGTCTTTAAAAATACCGAAGATGGTAAAGATTGTATTTTTAACAAATATCTTTTTGACCGTTTAGTTATATGGCAGCTATAGGATATAGACGGCCGATCCTTATGAATTCCGTAGGTTGGATCAATTGGAAAAATAGAATCTGATAGAAGTTCCAACTTTCTATCTTCAACAAGAAAGGACGGCTTAAGTGGAGTTTCCCGACTATATTATACCCGGTACGTCCATGCTACCTATTCAGTTTTATTCTAAACAAGAAAGGAAAGCTAACTTCGGGCGGAGCCGAAGTTTATATACCCTTGCAGTTAAAACCGGATATACATATATCGCAAACATCGGATATTGTTGGCCAATCCTTATGATTACATCATATTAAAACCATTTAACTAATATAAAAAATCTAAAAAAAAGTCCCAAGCTCCTATCTTCAAAAATACGAAAGTTGATATTTCTACCAAATACCATTTCCGATCGTTCAGTTATATGGCAGCTATAGGATATAGTCGGCCGATCCTAATGAAATTTGGTAGGTTGGATCAACTGGCCAAAAATAGAATCTGTATTTCTATCTTCAAAAACACGAAAGATGGGTCATTTCCGATTGTCCACTTATATGGCAGCTATAAGATATAGTCGACCGATCCTTATGAAATTTGGCATGTCGTAATGGTTTGCCAAAAATAGCTCCCTTTTCAAATCTCTTGAACTGTCTAACTCTAAAAAGATCAAATTTATACCATTTCCGATCAATCAGTTATATGGCAGCTATAGGATATAGTCGGCCGATCCGGGCCGTTCCGACTTATATACTGCGTGCAAAAGAAAGAAGGGTGTGTGCAAAGTTTCAAGACGATAGCTTCAAAACTGAGAGACTAGTTTGCGTAGAAACAGACAGACAGACGGACAGACGGACATGCTCATATCAACTCAGGAGGTTATCCTGATCAAGAATATATATACTTTATAGGGTCGGAGATGTCTCCTTCACTGCGTTGCACACTTTTGGACAAAATTATATACCCTCTGCAAGGGTATAAAAATTGGTTTTATAATACAATTTTAATAAGGATCGGCAAACTATTTGCGATAAATATTCGATCTTAACTGCAAGGGTATATCAACTTCGGAACTGCCCGAAGCTTTCATTTCTTCTTAAATATTATATATCAATCACAGAATTTTTTCAAACAAATTATTACATTTTTAAGCGGATGATAGCTGGGCATATAATTTGAAACTGGGATTGGAATTTGAATCCAATTTTTGTGTTTTACGTAGACTAAAATTTATTTTGTCGCGGTTAAACTCGAATGTGACCCCGTCTTCTTCCTTCGTAATTTCATCCCAGCAGCGAATTTGCATAAGCATCTCTCCTCCGTCATTTCAGCTTACACTCAGACTCTCTAGACCACATAAAGTTAAATTAATGCCTTATCTGGTCGGTGGTGCACATCACGCAGAGGGCTAGCCCGATCCGGATTGTCGTTTTCAATTACACTGGAGATTTAAGCGTTTTGCGGTTTTTATTCTCCTCCGCGCCCCGTAGAAATTATCAACTTTTGCAAAGTGGTTCATAATTTTATTAGACAACATTGCGTACTGCTCGCCTTCGGCCGTTTTACCGTTGATGAGATTTTTGCCACGTGCAACAAATAATTTTCTGGTTTGCCGGAATAATGCTAGGGGAAAAGTCTGTCAGAGCTTCGTCTCGAAAACCCAATAATACTTACTGTTAAAAGGATTTGAGCTTTTATTTAATAAAGTCTTTTTATTGGATATGGGCTATTTTTCAGGCTATTTAAGTATTAAGAACTATTTATGAAAGTTAAATTTAAAATTAAGAAATAACCTAGATTTGAGTTTTTTTATAAATGCTCATACAAAAATAATCCTAAGTTTCCTATGCGAACATTGCAGGCATCTAAAACATCAGTGTTTCCCGCCGCATCTCTTCCATGCGAAACCAAGGGTACTCGTCACCCCGGGTGTTTGTCTCAGGCCCAGTTTTCACATCATTGAGACGTGTTTTGCATTAAAATTGAAGGTTCAGTGTGCGCCCCGAATTTTATGAAAAGAAAAGGAGTTCTTTCCTCGGATTAGTTCATATTTGGGGTAATTTTGTTTTATGAAGAAACTCTATTTGTGCGCTGCTAGTTCCAGCACACACACTTTTGCCTCGGAGTCCATTGAGAAATCCTTTAATGAACATGTACTAACATATTTTTAATTTGAGTGAAATTTTTTCCATCAAATAATAACCTATTTTTTTGCATACTCTTCCAGAGGGTATTAAAATTTTGAACAAAGTTAAAAGTGCACGTATCGTTTACACAATTTCACACATTTGTGGTTAAGATCACATTCCAAAGCCTTTTCTTCTTTTCACGAAGCATATACATGTGCAGTTAGGAACTGTCAGGATCGGCTAGGTACAAATTATAGCTGCCTTAAAGCTTAACGAACGTCTTCTATCGATTGCCATAGGGATCTGCGGAACATACCCTGAAAGTCTTTTTCTAAAATTTTGATCGCGTAGATCTGAAAGACTATAAGAGATAGAACAATCAGATTTGTAACTTGGGTTCGTATGGTATCCGCGGAGATCAAGTTTGTGTCAAAATTTTGCCACGTCCACTCCTGCCCCCAAAACATAAATCTGGTGATACGCGCCAGTTTGTTAATGTTTTCGAAAAATGTTTTGATGCCAAAACTGTTTGGCTAACCTAAGCCTACAAATAAAAAAGCAGGAGAATTCGCAAAATTTTTAGAGGAGTTATATACATTTTAGTCTGCCTCCCTAATGAATCGGTAGTATGACCTTGTGTTTGTTGTTTTTTTTTCCCAAGCTCAAAAGTATGCAACCTAAAAAAGTATGCAATTTGTCGCTGATAGAATTATCATACCTATCATATCATCATTATATATACCTTTAAACTTTAAAGTTTAAACTATAAAGGTTAGTAAAATTGTGTGGGAAGAGATTATAACATATAACATAGAACGGAAACTGGCCTCCTTTATTTACCTTTCATGTTTTGTTTATTTATTTTTGTTTTCAAATAAAATTTATACCCGGTACTCCTTTCTTCTCTATGTTACATACATTTACATTAACACGAATACAATATAACTGTGAACTCTACGAGTACCGAGAATAATTATGAAAATTTGCTATCATGCAAGCGCTAGCGCTTCAATGCAATAATGCAAGCGCTCCGGAGTAACAGCGTGTAAAAGAATTATTCCTTTCTTGGAAGGATGTAACTGGCCAATTCATCTGATCTCCCAAAATTCATACGGATCGGCTGTCTATATCCTATTGCTGCTATATAACTTAAAGATCGGAAATGGTATTTGAAAAATATACCGACTTTGGATTTTTAAAAATAGAAGCATGGGACATTTTTAAAATTTTGTGTTCTTATCAATTGGTTTTATAATAAAATTCATATAACGATCGGCAAACTATATCCCTTATTTTTTATATCCGGTCCTAACTGGAAGTTTATATCAACTTCGGTTCCTCCCAAAGTAAACTTTTCACTCTTTTTAATTTCAAGTTCTCTGATTGGTTCATACAACAATTTCATATTGATATTTCAAATAGTATATGTACAATATCAATATATGTTTACAGTCTGTTTTATATTTATAAATATATGTTTATTGTCTACCAATATACAACTTTTCTACAACAAGAGATGTTCTTTTTAAGCGTGAGCTGTAGTACGTTGAAAAATAACCGTAAGGAAATTAGGTTACTATTAAAACATGCAATAGTAAAATATAACCATAAAACTAAATTTTAATTAAAAACAAAAAAAAACTAGAAGAAATAATATTGCCCGCAAATAAGAATAAGATTCCACAAAAAGTACCATCTTTATATGATAATCATTTACAGCATGGCCAAACTTCGGAAACATTTAAGACTTAAAAATTATGTAGACTGGAAACCTTACAGTGTAAAGTAAATGTAAAATGTATCTGTAATGTGTAAAACTGTCAATTCATATCTTAAAGTTTTGAGCATAAAATGTATCGAACTATTAAAAATATCTTATGAAAATATAGACCGCAAATATATCTCGTAAACATATAAAAAAAAAAAATATTTTTGATATTGAGGCAAGCCGATAGAAAAGTTTGTTTTTACAAAAATTATCGATATGTTGATATTTATACATGTTATCAACAACCCTACACTGACCGAAGTTCCGTTCAATTCATTTTCAAACGATCGGTCGGCGAGACAGGGCATTATTGTAGTTCCGTAACGCGTTTTATCAACGCGGTTGATTAGGTTATCGAGGTGGAGCGTGTAAATACCCCGGATCCAGCTATCCGAAGAAGTACCCGGAGTGAAAACCTCAACCGCAACTGTAAATATCGTCGATGCCCTGACGCATCCCTTGTTTACATACACGCATATGTACAAAAGTAATCAAGAGCCACTGTGGTTAATATACCATTAGGCTTTAGGATTTAGGCTTTAGCTAATACAAGGCAGTGGATCATCTCAATTAATAATTTAAGCTCAACCTAGCTGCTCTTCTCTGCCTCACAGCAGCACCAGCAGCGTCATATGAGAGGAAGCGATCCGCACCAGCAAAATTAAACCTGTTGATAAGGGCAACGTACGCGCCCCACCGTTTTTTGTTTTGCTCTTCTACTTCTGTTTTATTTATGCGGTCGCTAAAATAATTGTAATTACAGCTGGGTTTAGATTAGATGAGTGATCTGTTCTTTTCCGTTCGGTTCCAAACCTAAAATAAATATCTATAAATGAAAACTAAAGCGGTCCATAAATAAACCATTCGAATAGAACACAAAATTCATTAAAGAACTGTGACCTATAAATCACAGCAAAAGCCCTCAGCCACACGTATTTTTTATCATTTTCAACAAAAAATCAATTTTTTGACATGAGCAGTCAAAAAATATAATCAGTAACTTTAAGGTATTTTTATGGAGTACTAAATGAAAAAATGAAATGAAATTTGTTTTGAATATATCTGTATATTTATACACGGTACTCGTAAAGTACAAGGGTACATTGTAGTCGTGTGAATGTATGTAACATGGAGAAGGAATCGTTTTGACACCATAAAATATATATGTATGTATATTCTTGATAAGCATTAACAGCCGATTCGATATAGTCCATATGAACGCGTGGATCTCAGAAACTAAAAAAAACAAAGCTATAGAATTTGGCAGGGAAACTCCTCTAATGCCCACGTTCAAGTTTGTTTCAAAATTTTGTTACGCCCCTCCCACCTTCACAAATTGCAAATTTCTTTAGCGGGAGAACCGAAAGGCTGTTTAAAAAACTATTGATGCCACACTATTTCTATAGTTAATATATTTTTGAAAAACAATTTTCATCCAAAGCACTCGATTTTTAGAGAAGATATACCCATATATACTACAGCTATATAATTTCCCATACAAACGGCCTAAAATTTTGAACATGGATCTCAAAGACTATAATAGATAAAACTATCCGATTTGGAAGTTGGACTCGTATGGTATCCACGCAGATCAAGTTTGTGTCAAAATGTTGCCACACCCACTCCCGCCCCCAAAACAGAAATTTCATTGTAGCGTTTTGATGCCAAACTGTTACAATGGCTAATCTACACCCACAAATCAAAATGCAGCAAAATTGGATAATTTATATAGGATTTATAGACTTTTGATTCTAGTATGTATGGCCGGTAGTATGGCCGTAGGTTTGTTGTTGTTTTGCCAAAGCGCTTATAAGCCGTAACGGTCCATACCGTTAAAGTTTAATCTTTAGTTAAAAAGGTTAGTTAAATTGTGGGTGGAAGAGATAGGTACCGGATATTATATAGTCGGGAAACTCGACTATAGCCGTCCCCTCTTGTTATACCCTTGCAGAGGGTATTATAATTTTGTCCAAAAGTGTGCAACGCAGTGAAGGAGACATCTCCGACCCTATAAAGTATATATATTCTTGATCAGGATCACCTCCTGAGTTGATATGACCATGTCCGTCTGTCCGTCTGTCTGTCCGTCTGTCTGTCCGTTTCTACGCGAACTAGTCTCTCAGTTAAGCTATCGTCTTGAAACTTTGCACACACCCTTCTTTCTTTTGCACGCAGTATATAAGTCGGAGCGGCCGGGATCGGCCGACTATATCGTATAGCTGCCATATAACTGATTGATCGGATATGGTATAACTTTGGTGTTTTTAGAGTTAGAGAGTTCAAATTTGACACGAGAGCTATTTTTGGCAAACCATTACGTCATGCCAAATTTCACAAGGATCGGCCGACTATATCTTATAGCTGCCATATAACTGAACGATCAGAAACTTTCGTGTTTTTGAAGATAGGAAGCTGAAACTTAATACAGAGTCTATTTTTGGCCAGTTGATCTAAGCTACCAAATTTTATAAGGATCGGCCAACTATATTCTATAGCTGCCATATAACTGAACGATCGGAAATGGTAGAAATATCAACTTTCGTATTTTTGAAGATAGAAGCTTGGGACTTTTTTTAGATTTTGTATTTTAGTTAATTGGTTTTATTATGATGTAATCATAAGGATCGGCCAACTATATCCGATGTTTGCGATATATATCCGCTTTTAACTGCAAGGGTATATCAACTTCGGCTCCGCCCGAAGTTAGCTTTCCTTTCTTGTTTTTATTAATGTTTTGAGAATCTCAACGTTTGCAAAATTAAATCTCAGCTTTTTTGTTTATTTTGGTTAAAAATGTGGAGGTGTATGCACTGGAGGAGTCGACTCCGACCCTATAAATACATTTGGATGAATATTCTTGATAAGGATCACCTCTTAAACCGATCAGCATTCCCGACTGACTATTTTAATAAGTCTTAAAACTATCGACTTTAAACTTCACACATTCATACATACATATATTCTTCTTCCCTACTTGACGCAGTTTATTAGTCAAAATGATTTGTTTGATTTGATTTGTTGAGACTTAAATTTCCATAAGAATTGGAAACTATATCCCAGTTACCATTCCGTCCTCGATTATTTTATATGGTATCTGTTTCTTCAAGTAGAGTAGTTTTCGAAAATAAATTACTTTCACAGAACTACTATTTACACATTAAACGTTTTAACATTTCTACCTTTGAAGGCTTCAGCGAACCCCAGTGCGATCGGGCTTATCACCTAAGTAACCAAGCTAGCGGAACCATAATTTCGTGAAGACGTATGTACATCAATTTGTATGTATGCATGTATGCATGAAACAGTATTCACGATAAAATGCTTTGAAATACCGCATACTTTGAAATTGTAGCTGATAAGGATTAACAGTACAATCATTAGGAGTACCAAAATTCAAGAAAATCGTTTGCCTAGCAATATAACTTACTAAAAAAACAAAAAGTTACAAAAAAAAAAAAAATAGCGCAAGGTAGGGCACAATAACGCGTTCTAGAAGCTCAAGTGGGTACGTGAGGATTTTGGCCATCCGCAAAACAGCTCTAACCTTGCCTACTTTAGTATACATGTAATGTATTTTCTTAAAGTATACCAAGCAAGGCAGGATGGGTGAGACTATAGAAAAGCCTGCAGTCAATTTGGTTCAAACTATGGTGTTCTAAATCAAAAAATAACCATAAAAAATTCTTAAATATAAAGACTCAAAGGAAATATGAAAGTATCTTTAAAGTACCAAAAAAATGTTATATTAATAAACTTGTGTGTGGACGCGCAAAAGATATTGAAAAGGTTTTCATTTTCAAAGAAGCAAAAATTCGTAAAACCTGTCAGACATTTAATAAAATAAAGCTAAAAATAAGTAATATTTAATTGCATTCGCTTGTGTTTTTCGATACCCATTAAGGGCATCAGAACAAAAAGTCTATAATTTCTCTAACCATCATCCAATAACTCGGTATTTTGATTAAACAATGTAAATTGGTCTTAATTATTGTTTTGGAATAAAATATTATTAAAATACTAATTAAACTCGGGAATTAAGACATCATTTTTTGATGCAGTAGGCCTGTCACAAAATTTTGAAGCAGACTTGATCTTTTGTGACAGCATTGTAAGAAGCCAGCATGGGTATCGGAATAAATGAAAGCATCCATAACTCCTTCAAAAATTGGCCAAGGTGGCTGAATTTTGCTTTCCAGTTATAAACTAGCCATATGAATAGTTTGACATAAAACTTTTTTAAAATACCTTTCTTTACTAGTATTAAAGAAATCTATATGCAAAATTTTATAGCTCTATCCATAATATTTTCTGAAATCCACGCGTTTATACGCACATGGTTATATCGACTCAGATGTTTATGCTGATCAATCGAGTTGCCTTTTCCCTGTTATCTATGTACACACATTCTTACGAATCAATATACCTTGTGTCGTATGACTGCTGGGTATAATCACTGATACAAAATCAAGGACTATGCCCATGCGTAGCTTAAAAATAAAGTGCTTCTAAGCTAATTAAAGCTTTGAAAGTTATTGATACATCGTTATTTAGAGAGCAATCGAATTAAAATATTTGTTTCTCCAAGTATTCCATAATTAATAATATTAATATTTAATTCTTTAAACAGTTACAAATGCCCATATTGCCGAGACTCGGCCATATTAATGACAAAGTCAGCCAGAAAATCATGTTTTTAATTCTCATTCATTCTTTTTACCCTAGATTAATGTTTCAGCCATAAGGACGAGCTATATATGCCTGCTAGTTATGATCACAAAATAAGCACTCGTTTTCCACACACACAAAAACACACAAAATAATTTTATTAACAAAAGGCGTGGTGGTCAGATTTGCAGAGCATGTCCAAGTACCAAAAACTCGATGGAGGCCGACCGCCGACCACTCACGAAGATGACTTTGATTACTTTGATGACGACAAGTCTGAACGTCGATCCCCCCGCACGCCGAATATTTACCAAAAATACAGCAATGACGACAATACGGTTAACAACAACAGTATCAACATGGTAACAATAGGGCCAAGACCAGTCGGGCACTCGGATGAACAGACCTGGGAAGTGCCGCTGCTGGTCGATGATAGTCAGGTGAGCACTGCCTAATAGTTAAATGCAAACACTTTGCGGTAGTTTTTTGTGCTTCCTTTGGCTAACCTTATATGACAGGAATTTCTAAAATTAACAATCACTCTGAAAATTTTTATAATCTGTCAACTTTGACCTTGGTTGCTCATAATATATTGATGAAAGCGCATAAAATTACAACTATATAGAGTTTCAGTTTTAATATTTTCAACAGTATTCTTAATTTTATAATTCTTCACCATATCTGTCAATTGTCAATAATTTTTATAATAATGCAGTTATGTATAATAATAACAAATACTATTAGAAACAAGAAGAAAAGCATAATAATGATACTGACCTTTTTGAGCAGAGGACACCAAAGTTACTCACTTACTTCGACAAAAACTTATGATTTTTATTATTTAAATTTGATATTTTTATTTTGATTATTTTTGTTGTTAAGCTAAGCAAAACCTCAAAAAAATGTTTTTCTTTTATTCAGGGCTTTGAAAATGAGCTAATGGAATTAGATATGGCAGGTGTAACTGTGCATGAACATGGGAGTCCTAAGTGTCAATATCTACAAAGAGGATTTGAGCCAGACGGGAAGAGCAAAGCCACTCAGGAAGCCAAGTCCAAGATTTTGGTCGCAATTTTGTTATGTTCCATATTCATGGTGAGTACATTTATATGAACATAATATATGTACTTAAAATAATAGCACTTTTGTCGAACACTTATAAAAGTTATCAATAAAAGACAGTTTTGTAGGGAGAACGTTCTTAAAAGTGTCATGCTAAAGTGTTACTGAGAGACTGTTCTGTTAACAAAATCGGTCGGACCAGTGGACCTGAAAGCTGTGTTTAAAAATTAAGTAAAGTAAACTTTAACTATATGACCCAAAATTACCAAATACAGTTAAATACCGCATTGGATAGAATAAGGTGCAATTAATCAGTTCATCCCACCGTTCAATTTCTAACACACTCTTAATTTAATTATGATAAATTTCATGGCCTTGTTCACAATAACCACAACTGATGCTGACCACAGATCATTGAATTCCTTGGCGGCCTCGCGGCCGGAAGCCTGGCCATCATGACGGATGCAGCCCATTTGGCGTCTGATTGCATTAGTTTCGTCATCGGGCTGGTCGCAGTTTGGGTAAGCGACCGGCCACCGGATAAGCGCATGTCCTTTGGTTACAAACGTTTCGGTAAGTACTCAATTAAGATTGACACTAGGCTAATGAGTGTCGCACCACACCGCAACTCCCATTAATCTGGTCTACTTAGATGTTCCTGGTTATAATTTCCCACATTGCATTGCATTTAAAATGTTTTAAACCTTGGCTTGCAGAGGTTCTGGGAGCCCTAATTTCGATACTTGGAATTTGGCTTCTGACCACTTTGCTCGTAGTGGTGGCAATCCAGCGAATCATATCTCAAGACTTTGACTTGAACATCAATGTAATGATGACCATATCTGGGATTGGAATCGCTATTAATGTTGCGTAAGTTTAACACAAATATATTTTTAAAACGTGTCAATAAAGTAATTTATAATTTCATTTTCGGAAAAGCATTTTTGCATTTCAAATTTTTGCCACACCCCCTCCCCCTCCCACAAATCCGGAAATTTTATAGCGCCAGAACTGAAAGACTTTTGATGCCAAACTATTTCTATCGTTAATTTATATCTGAAAAATCGGCCGATTTTTAGAAGAGATATACCCATATACATACAATTTCCATACAAACAGCCTAAAATGTTGAACGCGTGGATTCCGAAGACTATAAGAGATAGAGCTATTCGATTTGGAACTTGGGGTCGTATGGTATTCGCGTAGATTAAGATGTATCAACATTTTTATTTTTAAATTTTTTTATGTTTTTTTCAAACTGTTTTAATGGCTAGTTTTAAGTCTGTTTTCCTACTGAATCCTAGTGGCTTAGGAAGTAGTAGTGAGTCTTCGTTTTTGTTCCCAGGCGTGAATAATAATTTATTTCTCATAAATTAAAACATAATTTTCGCATTTAATTTTTTTTTTTTAGAATGATATTTGTTTTACACGGATCGTGGTTCATCGGTAGCCACGGCCACAGTCATAATCATGGTCTCGGACACGGACACAGTCATAATTCTGGTCCTGGAACCAGTCATGGCCACAGTCATGGCCACATACGGAGTGACTCCCAGTCGAACTTCTATCCTCTTGCGCCGACAGGTAGCGAGGAGAGCTCTCTGATAACACCAGTCTGCGAGGCTTCCGAAATTTCTAATAAATTGTCCAATAATGAAGCTGTTTTTATTCAAAATGATCCAAAGCCTTCAAAGTCGGACGGGTATGTATATATTCATACTTTTTCTGCACGAGTTATTTTAGATATTTAATTTATTATTGACTTATAATTGGCCATTTTATAGGCCTCCATGCTTATCACTTAACCCGCATCTTGACAACGAGGATAAGAATTTAAACTTACGTGCGGCAATGATTCATGTCGTTGGCGATCTAGTGCAAAGTTTTGGCGTCTTTTTGGCTGCCATTTTGATCAAGTTTTTCGTAAGTATCCTCCGATCCGGATGATTATTTAGCTACTAATAAAGTTTTCTGATTTTTAAGCCAAGTGCAAAGTTTGTGGATCCTTTATGTACGCTTCTCTTCTCGGTTATTGTAATTATGACCACACTTCAGCTTTTCCGGGAATCAATAACGATTCTTTTAGACGCCGTGCCACCCAACTTTAGCGTAAAAAATCTCGAGCGCGATCTGAGCAATCTCGAGGGCGTTAGGTAAGCTGTCGCTTTAATTCCAAATGACCTTATAAATTATTTGAAATATTTTTCCCATTTTTAAGGTCGGTTCACCACGTGAATGTTTGGCAGCACACCAGCAATCACATAGTTATGATTGTCCATCTTGTCACCGGTGAGAGGATAGTCTAAAACTGTTTCATCAATTAAATCAAAAACGATCAATTATTAAAAAGTACTAAAATGAGAACGAAACATAATTTTATATTGGCAAAAATTAGCGTTCGTCAAATTTTATTTTCTTCTTTTAAATAAAATTGTCTAAAATCTAATTATTCTTAAACACTATTGTTCTTAAATTATTTTCAGAGGCACAATCTGATGATGACGCAGTTATGCGATCAGCCACAAAGCTTGTCTACGGTTACCCATACAACGTGCGGCATGCAACCATCCAAATTGAACGAGCTCCTTCGTAATCCGCCAAAGAGATTGTTATCCATCCCATAAAGTCCCGACCTGCCGTACGCTATACTATTTTGTGATTTACCAACTACTTTGTTTAGGCATTTATATGACCATTTGGTGGCATATAATGATAAGATTCGGATTCAATTGAAGCCAAAGAATGTTTTGAAAATTGGTTCAACATAAGTGTATAGTACTTTCATCAGGGATACTAAGTATTTCAATATTTACATTAAATGATTACTATTTAAATCGCGTGTTCCTAAAAAAAAATAGTTTTATTTTGTTGACTTCATTTTATATTCAGGAATTTTAAATACAAAATTATAAAGATTATTTCAAAGATTTTTTACTTTTAAAAGATGTGATCCTAAATTATAATTTTTAAAGTACACTGAGACTTATATATGTATTTATAATCAAAAAAAAACATTTATTAAAATTGACAAATAGTAATAAAAAAGAAACTTAATAAAGAAACTTAAGGTAACTTAAGATTATAAAAGATAAAGAAACTTAAGGAAATGGCAATAAAGAGTCTTTTACAGTAGTTGCTGATATTATCTTGGGCACGGATATGTAGTCTTAACATAGCCGTCATTCGATAATTTCAAGTTGAAAAATACCCTTAAATATACGACTAAGCTTAGTGTGTAGCTTGGAAATGTATATTGAGATACATGTATAAATATTTGCTTGAAATTTATTTAAAGTTGTTCCGGGACAATCGTAGATACGTATTTATTTATGCACATTGAAATACAATAATGTATTGTTAGTTTGACTATTCATAATTACCTTGGATTCTAATTGTTATTTTAATAATTCATGGCCAAGTGGGTCGCAAAGAGAGTGCCGAGCAGTCATGGGGCTACTCTGACAGTAATTCATATATTGAACCCACACACAAATCTGATTAGAATATCGCTAGCAAACTGTCTTCTTCGCAGCCTGCTTATATGATATGTGGGTGCACTCCTCCCAGATGGGTTTCAATGAACCGGAAATGAGCAAATCAAGCACGCCTGCCGACACACGCACACTGCACCAAGGCGTTAACACATGAGTGAAGTCAAGTCGAAGCATCTTAATCAACGTATGTAAGGAGTTTAGTGGATGGGCGTCCATTTGTGCATTTGTCAGCTGCCCTACCCCGTCAACTGGAGCGAAATCCAATCCTCTCAAGATGCGAAACAGGAGATTCGGTACGGGTCGCAGGCCTTTTTCTGGCTTTTCTGACTCGACCACGCTCTAACCTTACAGTTCAATACGCTCGGACACGATTAAGTTTTTTCTAATTTATGAGCTGGGACCGACGCGCGATACGAAACAGAACCCGAAATCAGGAAACTTCCATTTCATTACCAAGCAAAGTGTGTTAAAATGATGAAGAGGTACGTTTGTATTTCGCATACTCATCCTTCGCAATATATGTACGTATAACCATCATATTAATAAATCAATTGTCCTGTCAGGCTTAGCTCACTCAACTAACGAGTGCGAAGGCGATTAAACAACTGACCCAGTTTCCTGATTTGGGAAGCTTCAACTAATTAATACTAGCCACCGTCGTTCTGTTTTACAAGTGCCCCATCAAGGCGTGGCGCACTTCAAATGCGCAAATGTAAAATGAATGGCATACTTGACTTAATGCTTTCTAATTATAAATGTATATAACGAAAATCCTAGCTAGGGCTGCTAGGAGAAGCATCCGAATGAAAAATGGCGAACCTTTAGTAAAAAAAAAATAGCTTCACGTGGAACAGAGGCTTATTACACCATTTCGAATTTAGCTAAAACCGATCCCCAGAGAAAGCCAAACAACTTCGTTGAGCGTATTAAAAAAACCGTAAAAAATGTAAACTGTAAAAAAAAAGATTTTTCATGTATAGCTGAAGTTTAAATTCCATTTAGGATAAATGTCTGCTACTGTAGTAATTCTATCATAAATTGTTGACATTGACATTAAATATGTATGTACATATATGCAGAAGCTAAACTTACCACAATATATCCATACCAAAATATCCATGACAGTTGTATTCATATTTAAAAAACAAAATGTAAATTGTGTTTACGATAAATCTTTTTTTGGTTTTATTTTTTTCTGTGTATTACAAATGAACATCATGAATAACGCGGGTGTGGTTTCTAAGATATTTTTTTTTAAACAATACAAATTACTTAGAATTAGGTAAGTCTGAACTTATTATATGAGTATGTATATATATGTATAGGCAGTTAAAGTTTTTGCACCTAATAATATGGACGATACAAAAATTACATATGTTACTGAAAAGATTTACAACAGTAGTATAAGAAGTGAAAAGGAAAACTCATACTTAATTATTTACAGCCTTAACTATTCTTGAGATACGTTTTACAATCCCAGTAGCCAACTTTCAGTTGCACCCCGCCGTTAATTAAACCGTTTCGAGCTGCCTGATCTATTTGGGGAGTTTAACTGCGGATGGCCGTACACATAAGTGTCGTTTGGTGAATCAGTAAAATTGCGTCGTCGTTCTTGCGAGTAGTTGTGGGAACTCGATGAATCTGCAACAAAATTGGGTGTTAAAACAAAACGCTTTACGGGTTGGGTACTCACTTCCAAAGGAATCTTCGTAAGGTTTTGATATGGGGGAGCCATTAAAGGAAGGCATCGATTTCTTTCTTTGAAATGCTGCAAACAAAAAAAGCGAAAGTTGAGTTATAGGTTCCTTTTAATGGCCTTTTAATTTTGTACTCTATTTTTCAAGAATATATTTAGCAACAATATTTAAAACAAAAATATAATTGTCCTTGTGAAGTTTAAAATTTGTAGTTACGTCCGCACCTACTCCAATAAGGTTGAAAATCAAAGTTGAAGTCATAAATAAGAAATTCTGTAAATGCTACCGCCAGTACTGACGATGATAGCGCAAGAGTTCGCCTTTATCGACCAAGTTTCCATGGCTGCTGCCCGAAACTTTATGGTATTCATGCAAGAAATTACTAAAAACTTAAAACTAATAGAGAAGTGTAGGCAAAAGTTGTGCGTGGCCTCTGTCGGTCCAGCATCCTTTTCAAGAGTCGCAACCCCTATCGTTGCAGCGATACCACTCAACCCCAGCTCGAGGCGGCGTGCTCCAAAATTATTAATTAAACTTACCCTCAGAGTTGACTTGCGTGACTCCCTGCGTTTGGAAGCAAGACATATACACTGTAATACATACAAAAAATGACAATAATGAGTGCATGAATGAATAGGCAAAAGATAAATAAAACTTTTGAGATATATGTAATTTCTACTGTGATCATCACAGTGTGATGGATGATTTCTTTGTTTGAAGGTTGCTGCTGCTGTAGCTTCTTACTGTTGGTTTGTTCCTTCGGGGCAGGTTTTCGGATTGTAGAAAGTACGTGGCTTAGAAACCTTATAAAATTAACTCGGACGTATCCTTACCACCAAAAAACGTTCGCTTTGATCGTTACAGATAGGTTGAAAGGAGCGCGAAAACTCTTGATCAGGATGAAGTTTTCAAAGCGAAACCATAAAAACTACATTTTATGTATTGATACTTTATTTTATGTATTATACTAACATAAAATAATGAACCTTAATCCTTGGGCGTGGACATCATGAAATTAAGTAGATAACAAGAAAAGATAGAGTGAAAACCAGAAAATTGCTGACCAAGAATGAACATATACCCTCTTCAAAGGCATAACGAGAGCAACAATGAAAAGTTCAAGTATAATTAAAAAAAAAAAAAAAACTCATTCCATAGCCCCCAGGGAGAGCAAAGTTTGATCGAAGATCAAATCCGATTAAAATTTTATTTCTTATTGGACATATTTGAAATATACGATACAAGTTTCAAAGAAAATTTTCAACGTGTAATAATTGTGTAATAACTAAACGTTAAAACTTACCCCAGATAGAAATTATTACAATCACTATGGTAGTTAATATGAATCCAAGATTCTCTAACAACCGGTAAAGAATTGGTCCGCCGTACGTACGTCCAGAGCATTTCTGTACCATTGTACTGCCAACGATTGGAACCTATAAATAAAATTAAAAAAAATATTGTAGTCGAAAATGTAGTCATAAAATTTATTACACATGTTCCTCAAAAATATATGGTGGACTACACTACTCACACCGACCACACTAAAAAACAAGAAAGGAAAGCTATCTTCGGGCGGAGCCGAAATTTATATACCCTTGCAGTTAAAAACGGATATATATCGCAAACATCGGATATAGTTGGCCAATCCTTATGAGAATATGATAATATAACCCATTTTATAATAATACAAAATTTAAAACAATTCCCAAACTGCTATCTTTAAAAATACCAAAGTTGGTATTTCTACCAAAAACCATTTCCGATCGTTATAAAATTTGGAAGGTCGGATTATATGACCAAAAATAGAATGCATGAAGTTTCAGCTTTATATCTTCAAAAACACGAAAGTTGGGTCATTTTCGATCGTTCAGTTATATGGCAGCTATAGGATATAGTCGGCCGATCCTTATGAAAATTTGTCGTTTTATTTTGCCAAAAATAGCTCTCGTGTCAAATTTGAAATCTCTAACTCTAAAAACACCAAAGCTATACCATTTCCGATCAATCAGTTATATGGCAGCTATAGGATATAGTCGACCGATCCCGATCGTTCCGACTTATATACTGCGTGCAAAGGAAAGAAGGATGTGTGCAAAGTTTCAAGTCGATAGCTTTAAAACTGAGAGACTCGTTTGCGTAGAAACAGACAGACGGACAGACGGACATGCTTATACTCAGGAGGTTAACCTGATCAAGAATAAATATACTTTATAGGGTCGGAGGTGTCTACTTCACTGTGTTGCACACTTTTGACCAAAATTATAATTCCCTCTGCAAGGGTATAAAAAATTATTTTTCCTAAACAAAAAAAATTAGTACCAAATACCATACTAATCTTTCATTAGTTTGGTAGTTTGGATCAACTGACCAAAAATAGCATAATTTTAAGTCAATAGCATTAAAACTGAGGGACTAGTTCGCGTGGAAACAGACAGACAGACATGCTTTTATTAACTCAGGAGCGTTGCGTTGCACTGTACTGCTTTGCACACTTTTGACCAAAATTATAATGCCCTCTGCAAGGGTATAAAAAGTTTTAAGGTAATGACTGTTAAAAAGCATAATTATTTTTCCGATTAAGCTGATGGTGTTTTTTTAACTAATTTTTTTTTTTAAACCCTAATTTGGATCTTGTGTATCGTGTTTGACATGATGACAAAACATGGTGAGGTAATGCAACGGAACGATTGGTTTAAGTAAATAATTAGTTAGGCTTAATTTTATGGTTTTTTCCAATCATCCCATTTATAATGGTGTAAAGAAAGGCTATCATTTATTTAAATTAAACTAAAAAGCTGATTGTTAGATGTACGTAGATAAGTTGAGAACATGGGATTAAAATGAGGGTAATCGAAGGGGTACGAGTGTGACTATCGGGAAAACTTGGTTGTCAAAATTTGCTTCGTTAAAGCACTAACCATACAGCATATGGCCAGTGGTTAAAGTAAGCACCGCAACCTGACTGTATATTAAAAAAAAAACAAAATAAAATGGGATACTTATTAAAACAATATCAATATTAAACCGGATCTTTATTAAAATATATACTAGTTGGTTTATTTTAAACTTACTTCAATTCGTTGCTCTGTCTCTGGCGATATTACTAATACATAAAAGTTTTCATCCAGCGGAAATTCCTCGAAAATTTTCAGTCGAAACTTGCTCACGCCATGCCCGTGCTCTAAGAGGTCAACAGAAAAGAACTTGGGGTCGGACGGTTTTACCTTTGTAGAAAGAATTTATTATAATAAATAAAATCAGTAATTATATGAATCATGTTTTAATATTTTGTTTCATTATTTTTTGTTAGTCTTTAGATTTAAATGTATATTAATTTTAAATATATATTATGTTCTGGGTAGATATAGACATGCCTGCCTATCTGCATTTTTTATTATGCTGTAATTTTGTACGAACATATTTTCTTTAAGATTTTACCCCTTTTATATGGTGTCGAATCATATCTGCAGCATCATACCGTTGAAATGTAGTTATTTTTTGGTGCGCATAAAAAAATTGTAAAAAAAAAAAGTTATTTTGATGCCATTCAGAAATATTCATTTAATATCCTTATTTGGTAGGTTGGGTTTACTGACCTTTTGGTCAGAATCTGTACTAAGTTCCAGCTTTCTATCTTCAAAAACACGAAAGTTTGGTCATTTTCAATCATTCAGTTATATGGCAGCTATAGGATATAGTCGGCTGATCCCGGTCGTTCCGACTTATATACTGCGTGCAAACGGGTGTGTGCAAAGTTTCAAGTCGATAGCTTTGAAACGGAGAGACTAGTTTTCGTAGAAACAGACAGACGCACATGCTCATATCAACTCAGGAGGTGATTTTGATAAAGAATGTACATATATACTTTATAGGGTCGGAGATGTCTCACTGCGTTGCACACTTTTGAAAAAAATTGTAATACCCTCTGCAAGGGTATAAAAACTTTAAATAAAAATTAAATCAACTTAAAATCAAAACATAAAAATCAAAATGTTCAAAATAGATAGGGAAGTGAAGATTTCCATTTTTTTAAGAATTGTTGCTAAAAAAGCTTTCTTTAAAATAAAATACACCATTTTAGTGACCATTCCATATTTTGAATAAACAAAAAATGAAATTAAAAACTACGCTTTTTCGCTTTCGCTGCTTTTTTCTGCTACCAAAGATTATAAAGTGCATACATATGTCTATAGATGCGCGACAAGTTAAGTTCAAGAAATTTTTCGCGGGACAACGAATAAAGGATAGGTGCTGAACTTTTGATTTGACTTATTTGTTAATTCCAAAGGATTTTACCCCCATAATAAAGAAATTTGGTATTAACATGGTAACAAATTATACTAAGTAAAAGTCTTGAAAAGTCTATCTTAAATTTAAGTAAAAATAAATATTTTCAAATTGATTTAAAATTTTAAACTTTACGATTAAAGTAAAAATAAAATAAAACAGAAAAATAAAATAAAAACAAAAAAAAAAAAAAAAATTTTTTTAACTTAAGACTAAAGTAAAGTAAACTAAGTAAAAGTAAAATTTAATATATTAAATAAACTCAACTAATTAAAGTAACAATAACACTTATCTAATCATTTAAATAAATTTAGGGAAGCTTAACAAAATTAGTTTTAAAAAAATTTGCTTCTTTAAAGTAAGTTTACTTAAGTAAACTTTACTTTACTTTTAAAATATTAAATTGCTATATTGTATTTTGCTATATTTGCTATATTAGTCTGTCAAGTGTAGTTTTCCAGTCTTGGTTATCCATATTTAAGATGACACCAAAATTATAATTAGAATTTTAAAGGCAGGTAATATATATCTGAAAGAAAAACCAAATAAACCCTCAAGATGCCCGGAAAAGGAAGTCACGCAAAATGAATTTGTTTTTTAGCCACTAGCGAGACACACTGGAGTAAACTAATTCCTATACATTCAAGGGAATACAAAACCTGCCTGCAGTATTCTTGCATTGACATTGTGGTATATGGTGGTATATGGTATCTCCATCTGATACCTATGCTTTCCTTGAGAAATGCAATAGAAATGTCAGCTTGAGATGCAATCCCTCTTGCGGCAATTTTTGTCGGCTAGCAACAATGTTAACAATGGAGAGTACTTCTTGGTCGAATGGCTAACGGTGGCAGCAAGGGTAGTCCTTAAAAAAAGATAGTCCTCTCTGCCTAGAAGCTGCACTCGGAGAGCTTGTTATTCATAATTTTGTACTTTGAAAAAGTATCTAACGCCTTAGGCGATACAAACGCAAAGCACCAAAACTTCAAACGCCTATGCACATTATAAAAACATTTTTGGTACTCGATTGCATTACTTAATGTCCATATCTAGCCGCCTGTATTAGAACTTGACTCACCTGAACTTTGTGCAGAGCCTTTTCTAGACCACTAATATGCATTTCATGCGACTTTAATTCACTTATCCGTATACTCTCGGGTGTCACTTTAATACCCGGCACAAGTTTTAACGACATTGTGTCTACGATTCCGGCAGACGTCGCAGCCTGTGAAAAATTAGGTAATCAAAAGGGTAAGAGGTTAAGGGGAGGTGCAGTTGAATGAAACCTACTTCCAACTCCAAGAAAACGTCTTTAGTCTTGACAATGGCCAACAGGTCAACGAAATTCGACACCAGAACCAATCGACAGCTATACTGCCCAGAAGAAGATTCAAACCATGGCTCTACTTTGTAAAACTTCAGTAATTGGCGACCAAGCACATCTTTAGCCACCAGCCGACAGCTAAATACATCCACAACCGCGCTTTCCAATTTGCTAGCACAATTCGACATGTTAAGGGCAATCTGTCGAGGGAAAAAGTTTCGTTAGCACAGATTAAGACGCATAGTTCTCATGGATTATACCTACCAGGTTGCTATACTTATCAGATTGCACATGATTGCGAAGAACCAGTCGTCCCATATATTCTGATCCACTGAATATGTCCAGTGACTTGGAGAAAAGAATCTGCAAGTAATTTTGGTTGTTAAGGGGCTCACTGGCTGGAACAGTTCCCATTTTAACTTACCACATCCGACTCGCGAATTTCCAGATCATACTTAATAAATCCGCTTCGACTGGCCGCGTCTCCGGTGGTAATTATAATTTTTTCTCCGACATTTTGCCTATATTGTAATACGCGTGCAACGCCTGAAAAGCAAATAAATCAACTTAGAAATGTTGTATAAGTTCTGTACCTCATTCAGGAGAAAAACAAGAAAGGACGACTATAGTCGAATTTCCCGACTATTTAATACCCGGTACCTTCCGCCCACAATTTAACTTACCTTTTATCTTCCTATTTATCTTTAATTTATTTATCTTAAAGTTTAAACTTTAACGGTATGGATTCTCATAACAAATTTTTGTCGCATACTTTTGCGCTTGGGCAAAACATGAACAAACCTAGGCCATACTACCGATGCACAGTGGTCCGGCTTGTATGAAGAGAGCGGCCAAAAATACTTCTAGTTGAGGTAGGGACTGGAAACTTGGCACAAAATATTTATATTTTTATTCTAAAATAAATCAGCCACATCGGGCAACTATATCATATAGCTGCCATATAACTGATTGATCGAAAATGCTATAACTTTAGTGTTTTTACAGTTAGAGAGTTCAGTTTTTGTACGAGTGCTATATTTGACAAAATAATACGACCTACCAAATTTCATAAGGATCAGCCGACTATATCTTATAGGGGCCATATAAATGTTTGATCGGAAATGACCCAACTTTTGTGATTTTTAAGATAGATAGTTGAAACTTCGTGCAGATTCTATTTTTGGTCAGTTGATCCAACCTACTAAATTTCATAAGGATCGGCCGACTATATCTTTTAGCTGTCATATATTATGATACTTTCATAAGGATCGGCGAACTATATCTGATTCTTGCGATATATATCCGCTTTTTTCAAATTGGGGTTAGGTTAATTAAAAGAATGAATGTTAATACCTTTCTTTAAAATATTAATAACTTCAATGGCACAAACACTTGTTTTAAAAATGTTTAATAAGCTTTTTGCGGAGAGCTTCACTTGCACGTTGCTAACGCTGCAATACACAATGAATATCATGCTATCACTTTTGATGCTATTCTTGAAGCGGACAGACAGATTAAAACAAAAAGATGAATAAATTCAAATAGCTAGACCAATTGTAAATAAGAATTGGTACATTTAAAGTCAAAATTTGGACTTTGGTTTTTTTATTTTTGGCCTACGGGCTGGACCACTGTGCGATGCAGTAGGGAAGCAGACTCTATAAAAATTTTTAACTCTTCTGAAATTATCCGACTTGGCTGCTTTTTAACATTTTCCAAAAACATGAACGAACTGCCGCTATTGGACAGTGCGACATTTGGAGGTGGATTGGAGGTGCGACATTTTGACGCAAACTTAATCTGCGCGGATATCATACGATCCCAAGTTTCAAATCTGTTAGTTCTATCTCTTATAGTCTTTGGTATGCACGTGTTCTAAATTTTAGCTCATTTGTATGGGAAATGTACATATATGCTACAAAAATTCGCGGTTTATGGGGCGGAAGGCAAAATTTGAGTGTCAAAATTTTGAAACAAACTTGAACTGCGTGGGTATCTCTATATCTCTATCTCTTATAGTCTCTGAGATCCACGCATTTATACGGACTGACAGACGGACATGGCCATATCGACACGGTTTTTTATGCTAGAGTATAGGGTATAGATTTTTTTTTTGTATAGAGTATATATATATATATATACTACTACGAGTGTCGGGTATAACAAATTTTTTTTTGGCGACCAAGTTTATATTATTGTACAGTCAGCGCCACAAAAAAAGCCGCACTTTGAAGGTTTACAAATTTTTAACTTTCAGGGCCTGCGGTTCATTTATATGATTGCGAATTTGCCCAAATTTTTTTTTAATAAGTTAACTGATGGTATGTTAATAAAAGTGCATACCAATTTTTAGTTTACATTTGTTTTTAATATTAAAAAAATTGTTGTTTTTGGTTTCACCCTAGTTTTAACGACTTTTCACTATTATGGCACTTTTTAGGTAAAAATTCATAAAAGTTATAATAATGAAAAACTTCAACAAAAACTATTTATTTCCAATTGAATACCGTACTAACTATAAAAAAAATTTAAATATAGGCAATTTAACAATAGACATATTTTTTAAATTTAGCTTAATACTTAGTAATTCCGCCTTTGGCCTTAATTACAGATTTTACCCTATTGGTCATAGACTCGTAAATGGAACACAAATATTCCTTCGTTATATCGTGTATCCATACTTTTTCTATAATTTGTTTTAAATCCTCCATAGTTTTGGGCTTTCGCTTTCTTATTTTGGCACCCATATAGGCCCAAACATTCTCGATTGGATTAAGGTCTAGGCTGTTTCCTGGCCAATCTAAGGACTTAATGCCCAATTCTTCCTTCAAATTTGTTATCTTTAGATAGAAAAATGATAAATTTAACTGAATAAGTTGTTTTGACACTGAGTAACTCACAGATCGCGCTCGATGGCAAGGTGCAGAATCATCCTCAAAAATGGGTTCTTGTTCTTCTTCACTTATGGAATGCTAGGCAGAACTCCACTTAAAATTATTTATTTGTATTTTTCTGCATTGACCATACCCTAACCAGTAAAATTGATTCCGTTTTATATTTGGATATGCATCCCCATACCATAACATACGGTGAATGCTTTACTGTGGCTATGCAGCAATTTTCAGAATAGCGTTCCCGACGTCTACGGCGCAGCTTGAGAATTCTATCAGATCCAATGAGATTAAATTTGGACTCAACTGAAAATAGTACTCTTGACCAATCAGAAGCAGTCCAATTTTCCTTGTCCTTTGCCCAGTTTAGACGATTTTTTTTCATTCGCGGATTCAAAAGTGGCTTTTTTGCAGGTGATCTTGCGAGCATTCCCATGGAGTTAAGCCGACGTTGAACAGTTCGCTCCGAAATATCTTTTGAAAACTGTCCCTGAACCTCAGATCTTATCTGCACTGCAGTTTTGAAACGATCCTGCAGGCTCGTCCTCATAATAAAGCGATCTTCTCGTGACGTGGTGCATTTTTTTTTTACCTGTTCCTTCTTTCCTTTTTACTTCACCTGTCTCACGATATTTTTTTAAAAAGCGACGCACTGAGCTTTCATTGAAATGTGTTTCAGCCGATATTTGCCGATTTGACACATTTTGTTCCGCCAATAAAATAATTTTTTCTTTATTGCGATCAGTGAACTGCTTTTGCTTTGGCATGACTTTACAGGTGTCTTTACAAAAAAAATTCTACCAAAAGCAACTTAAACAACAGCGCTCTTCAAAGGAAAATAGTCAAGGGTAACCCTCCTAAAAAAATAATGTCCAAAGAATAAAATTTTAGTGAAACCCCAGCATAGTGATTGCAGAATTTTCAAATTTTTTTTAAGTGCGGCTTTTTTTGTGGCGCTGACTGTATAATTCTAAACTTTTTTTAATTCAAATCAAATACTAGGAAGAAACAAAAAGGAAAATACGGTAAAAAGAAACATTACTTTAAGGGGTTATATACAGTTGTACCACGCAAAAATATGGATTTTTATCGATTTTTTTTTGACACCATAGAAAATATTTATGAAAAATGTTTTACCGACGTTGTTTAGTACATGTTTCTGGGTACTTAATTAAATTTTTTCATAAAAAAATATTACATAATAAAAATGTTTTAGACGGATTCTCGAATCGTCTTTTTTCGATGGTGTCTTGCGGTGGACATGATTTCTCGAAAACGGTTCATCCGAAATCCAAAATTCAAAAAAGTATAGTTAGTATATTGTATTGTCTAGTCCGTGAACGAGGGATTTTTAAAAATTTTGATTACAAAAAAAATGGCGAAGTTTTTAACAAAAAATGTACTTTTTCAACGTATAAGATTTTCGTTTTTTGTGCTTTAAAAAAGGAGTTTTCAAAAAAATTGAAAATCCCTCGTTCACGGACTAGCTAATATCATAATAAATAAGTGGTCAAAATTGATGATCGGTGTTGATCGGATTAGTAGTTTTTTAGTAATCGTGTCCACCGCAAAGGCAATTTCCCAAAAAAAAGATTCTGAGATAATCGCGTTTAAAGTTTCAAGTTTGTTTAAGTTTTATATGCAGATAGTGCGCTATAAATAGCTACAGCTTCGGTTCTAATGTTCCGATCGTTATGAATTTTTGTGAGAGTATTCCCAATAGAATATACTTAAAGAATATGCAATAAAAAAAAAATCGATTTTTTCATATATCACAACTGTATATAACCCCTTAATAACTAAACGAAAAGAGCTCAGTGCAATGCGAAAGACTTAATCGGTTGCAGTTTTTTGTGAAAAATCTTTAAAATTATTTTATGCAGCTGCAGACAATTTGGTTTTATTAATATAGGCAAGGGAAATTGCAAGGGAGGTGTATAATCCCCATTCTCATCTTAAGACACCTTTCTTAGCCCTAAAGAAAATTGATTTTACAGGAAATTGCTTTGGGCTTGATTTGATTTGAAAACAAAATGACAGAAGTATACAAAAATACACTGGAAGTTTTGGTATATTCTGAAACTTGTATGATATCATTTAGGTACAGTTGATAACATGTTTGACTTTCAAAACATGGACAAAGGTTTGGAATGATCATTTAAATACAGCTTTGAATATTTTCTTCGACTTAAAATGACTATCTGATACTTTCTTGGCATAAATTTATTGTTTGCCAACCAGTTATAAAATGGTTGGTGTATAAACTCACCTGTATGTTTGGAAATCGTCACAATCTGTTCATTTGAACTGCTCCAAATCGATGATAACGTTAGCGGTGAACTGAAGCAAATAACGTCGCCCACTGAGAAAATAGCCTGTTGGCCGTTCAAAAGTTTGTTGTCGAAATGATTTGGGTGAACGATTTTAAAACATGCAAAGAAGTCAAAGAAATATACTTATTAACAAATATATGTATTTCACGGGGGCCTTATGAAGAGGAGACACAACATCAATGTTGTTATGTATTTAGTAAATGATATTTATACATATATTAATTATATTATTTTGTCCTGTAAACATATAGCTTTTTGTGGGGAGAAAATCCATTTAGCTTTGTGTATCCATTAAGCTCTAACATACAAACGCTCAGAAAGAAAGGCAGCCCCCCAAGGGTACATGGACCCAAATGAAAGAAATGCAGATAATTAATATATAACATGTATATAGCGATAGAAAAAATTGTAAGCACAAGTGCATCTTTTCCTCCACAATTATTTTTACAAAGTTAAGATCTTACATTTTTATACCCTTGCAGAGGGTATTATAATTTTGGTCAAAAGTGTGCAACGCAGTGAAGGAGACATCTCCGACCCTATTAAGTATATATATTCTTGATCAGAATCACCTCCTGAGTTGATATGAGCATGTCCGTCTGTCTGTCTGTTTCTTCGCGAACTAGTCTCTCAGTTTTAAAGCTATCGACTTGAAACTTTGCACACACCCTTCTTTCCTTTGCACGCAGTATATAAGTCGGAACGGCCCGGATCGGCCGACTATATCATATAGCTGTCATATAACTGAACGGTCGAAAATGACCCAACTTTCGTGTTTTTGAAGATAGAAAGCTGGAACTTACAGATTATATTCTTGGTCAGTTAATCCGACCTACTAAATTTCATAACGATCGGCCGACTATATCTTATAGCTGCCATATAACTGAACGATCGGAAATGGTTTTTGATATAAATACCAACTTTGGTATTTTTGAAGATAGAAGCTTGAGACATTTTTTAGATTTTGTATTGTAATAAATTGGATTATATATTCATATTCCCAGGATTCCAAGGATCGGCCAACTATATCCGATGTTTGCGATATATATCCGGTTTAAACTGCAAGGGTATATAAACTTCGGCTCCGCCCGAAATTAGCTTTTCTTTCTTGTTTAATATAATATTCTATAATAAACAACAAAATAAATTTATATAAACACAGATATGATACTCATAAAAACATAACTTTAGTTATTGTATCATGCTACCGAATTCACCTGTAAATTCATTAGTTCACCATACTGGCTCATTTCAAAGTGTCTGAAAAAATCGATCATGTCAGAACACTTTGAGAATCGCGTCTGAACAAATCACTTATAAGTGTTTTTGCTCCAAAAGTGTTCAATGACACTTTCATTCGGTCTTTGTGTTAAAAGTGTCTCTTAAAACAGACTACGTGTGCATCAAGGTCTGTAACTTTATAGGCTCCAAGGTAACCATAGGTACAACTTTATAGGTAACGTTTTTCGGTTATCACAATTTCCCGAATTTTGTATTACCGGTCCTGAACCTCATTTAAGGTAGAAGTGCATTTCTCTGAGCCGAAACTAATTTTTATACCCTTGCAGAGAGTATTACAATTTTGTCTAAAAGTGTGCAACGCAGTGAATGAGACATCTCCCACCCTCTAAAGTATATATATTCTTGATCAGGATCACCTCCTGAGTTGATATGAGCTTGTCCGTCTGTCTGTCTGTCTGTTTCTACGCGAACTTGTCTCTCAGTTTTAAAGCTATCGACTTGAAACTTTGCACACATCCTTCTTTCCTTTGCACGCTGTATATAAGTCAAAACGACCGGGATCGGCCGACTCTATCCTATAGCTGCCATATAACTGATTGATCGAAAATGGTATAACTTTGGTGATTTTAGAGTGAGAGAGTTAAAATTAGATATTTTAATTAGAGAGCTATTTATGGCAAAATATTGCGACAGGCCAAATTTTATAAGGATCGGCCTAAAGCTGCCATATAACTGAACGATCGGAAATGGTTTTTGGTAGAAATACCAACTTTGGTATTTTTAAAGATAGTAGTTTGGGAATTGTTTTAAATTTTGTATTATTATAAAATGGGTTATATTATCATATTCTCATAAGGATTGGCTAACTATATCCGATGTTTGCGATATATATCCGGTTTTAACTGCAAGAGTATATAAACTTCGGTTCCGCCCGAAGTTAGCTTTTCTTTCTTATTTACTTTGCGATTCTTTGAAAAGTCCACATGTAGTAGTATGGTGTAATTAGAAAGTTCGGATGGTATGGTATGGTACATATGGTATGATAATACATATGGTATGAATACATATGGTATGGTATTCATAAGGAATTTCATAAGGATCGGCCAACTAAATCCTATAGCAGCCATATAACTGAACAATCGGAAATGACCCAACTTTCGTGTTTTTGAAGATAGAAAGTTGAAACTCCGTAAAGATTATATTGATCGGACCTACCAAAGTTGACCGGACCTACCAAATTTCATATATCTTATAGCGGCCATATAGCTGAAACATTGGTATTTTTGAAGATAACTTGAAGGTTTAACTGAAATTTGGCACGGGGTATTATTTTGCCAAAAATAACTCCCTAACTTAAAAAACACCAAAGTTACAGCATTTCCGATCAATCAGTTATATAGCAGCTATTGGATATAGTCCAATACTGCGTGCAAAGAAAAGAAGAGTGTGTGAAAAGTATCAAGTCCATAGCTTTAAAACTGGGAGACTATTTTGTGTAGAAACAGACAGACGGACATGTCTATATCAACTCAGGAGGTGATCCTCCTGATCCTAAAGAGTATACATATATACTTTATAGAGTCGGAGATGTCTCCTTCACTGCGTTTCACACTTTTGGACAAAATTATAATACCCTCTAAATAGTAAAGTGATAAATAATAATAATACGTGAAAAATAGTAACTATTGATTCACGAAACTAATTTTAGTGATGAAATGAATAATTAATTGAATACAATATAAACTTTTTTTAGAATAGATAATATATTTTACAAGTTTTTAATTACTCACCTTTGTGGGGTAAATAGCCTTAGACTCTACTACTGCCAATTTGATGTAGTCCTCCGCGTGTTTCACCCCAGCTGAGTCCCGAAGCCCGATGGTTATTACGTTGTTAGTTTCCCGGTAAAGGTTTAGCTGTATGTAATATATGTTTTTCATTACTTCAATGCCTCTTTATCATTTTTTGGTTTTATTATTATTGTAAGTTTGATATCACTTTGTGGAAGTTTATTGAGAAAAAGGGCCATTGTCATAGTTCGGCATGCGAAAATAAAATGAAATTGAAATAATTTTCCAGCTGCGACTTAAAAGTTGACATTTAAGCCTAGTACTCTGACGACGAAAATCCGCTGTCACACGTGTGCTAGCGAAATCGCTCTTTATTTGGCTACCGAGCTAGTGTGACCAAAAAAATTAAGGAAAAGGGTAATACTGAACAGTTGTTGTTTGTAAACAAAAAAAAATTAGCAAAATTTAAGGAGCTGATTAAGAAAAAGAAAAATGGGTCAAAATCAAAATCAATCACAAATCTTTTCAATGCCATTTTATGGCATTAAAATGTCCCTTGTGGGTCAAATCCCATATTATGGGCTTCGCCCTGACCGCACTTATTATCTTGACTTTATCCTCGCGGGCCGAAAATTTTTCGGTCCGACAATTTTTTTCTCTCAATTTTCGCTCCATGTTTTGGCCAACAAAAGAAATCAAATGAATTCTTTTTACACCCCAAAATCAGGTGTTTATATAATCAGCTGTTTGTTTTTGATCCGGCAACGCCATTCAATTTGATAGCCATAATTTTTGTCGTCAGAGTACCGGGAAAATCTAGGAGGCAAAAATTTCTTCTTCTTCCTTTTTTCACACCGTTTTTTTTATGTGGAGTTTGACAGCTGTCACGCGTGTGACAGCGGATTTTCGTCGGCAGAGTAAGAGGCTTTACATAAAAATCACAAAACTCTTTCCTTTATTCAATGACTGCAAATAAGGCAAGCACAAAATTTTTGTTTTCTTTGGTTTGAATATTTTTGGAATCGGGCTCTAAACCCTTAAAAAACTATGGGCAAGGGTAAAGGGAACTGGTCGTACGGGAAATATTGAAAATACACTTACCGCTATCGAAAAATTATTATTTATTTGGACATCGACCGTATCTGTGGTGGCTAGTTCATAGTAAAGCTCGTTGCCATCCCCAATGGTCTCTGAGAACTCAGTTCCCAGATTGTCATGCAACGAAACCTTGAATACAAAGTTCATGCCCCGTGGAACCTTGTGTTCGATTTTTTTTAGTTTAATAGCCGGTATCAACGTGACCAAAATATATTCAACGTTTTTGACTTCTATGTCAATAGGCAGCGTTTGGTCCACTGTTTTGGCCTAATGTTAAGCATTAAAAAAAATTTGAAAATAATCATTTTTCTCTAAAGCCACTTACAATAATCAGATCTCGTCCAAGGGTGTCTTTTGTGTTTAAAAGGCCATTTGGCGAAATGCTAACAATATTGTTACTTTGACCAGCTAACTTGTAAACCACATCGTCCATATTGGCTTTCAGCTGAAGTGTACTCCGCGGTGCCGCCAAAATTGAGTCTATTTTTATTGGTTTGGGTGCAACGAGCTCGAGAGTTTTAAAAACTGGAATAGAGTTTTTAATTTAAGATTATATTTTGGTAAACCTTATACAATGCAGCCTCACCAATAACTTCCACACGTGCTGGAGGTAGCTTCGATCCATCTGCCAAGGAAACGGTTGCCGTGATTGTGACCCTGCCAGAATTCAAAGCTCGTATTCGAACCGAAATTAAGTCTTCATTCTTGTACTCGATTCCTATAATTATAGTTATATAGTTAATAAAGTATACTTTATGTCTAAAAATTAATTATAATCCAACAAAAATGCAATATTTCTGCTCAATTTGAAAGATTTTAAAGAATATGATTAAAGTATCATTAAATACGATCAACCAGACACCTAGAGAGCAAGGTAACCTTTTTAGCAATCTGAAGACCAAGCCAAAAGATCACTGTGAAAGTCTTTGCGAAAATGACCCTATTTAAGACGAGCATTGCAAGAGTGCGTGAAAAAATATTGTCTATGAATATGTTGATTGTGGCATCTAGATAAAAGAATAACGTAGTTTTATTGTATGTTCCGTATCTGTTCCTGCTTAGATACTGAACTAAGCAAGCTCATCGGAGAACCTTTTAAATGGTTAATATTCGTGCACTTTGTGAACATAGAGATAAATTTCTTCTCTCTAATGCGGTATCCGTGCAAGTTATCGGTATTGGAATTTTAGCTTCCATTGCGGGAAAATATTTACCTGCTTCCGAAAAGATGTTGAATATCTCGACGACCTCAGGTTGGTTGACGGACCAGGAAATCTGCATACCTTGAAGAGTTCCTAGAACCATAGGCGACAGGTCGGGAATCCCCCAAATGGTGGCAGGCATAACTGCACCAATTCGTATATGGACAAGAGGCACCCTGATTTGAATTGACTTTAAGGAAACCACATGAAGCAACACAGTGTCTTCGGAAATGACCTCGTCTTTGCCTGTGACAGGGTTTCTTTGAATGCATTTGCCGGTAATCTGACTGGATCCCAAACGTAGAGCAGTTACTGAAGCCGAGTTCATAGCTGAAAAGAACATTAATGTTGACACTATGGAGCCATAACTAATCTGTAAACTCACTTGCAACTTTTTCTTTTTCGATAAAATATATTACATTCGAATTCGGCTGTGGTCCACCCTGGTAACTGATTTGAATACTGCTTCCTACAACTAAAGTAAAATCTCGCGGATAAAGCCGAATCGGAGAAAAAACTTGAACATTGAGCGGTTCACTAAGCACCGTCTGGTCGCCATTGCCAGATTGAAAGACAACTTTGGTGTCACCAACATTATTGCCATGAATAAAGTATCTTATTTCTCCTGTCCCTAAGTTTTCCTGGTCTCCAAGTCGTACACTGAGCACACTTGGGTCAATAACCAACTCCGAAAGATCGTATATATTCAGTCTGCTGTGATCAATAAACAACAGGTTGTCATTGGTGTCATAAAGCCGTACTATTGCTTCGATGCGAGCGGAGCGCTCTACTCGATCCATGCTGATAACCTTGATGGCCCCGATGCCGACTACGGAAATGGATAAGTGACTGGCTTCGTTTGTCAGGCAGTTATCCATTAATTCGAGACGAACATGGCCATGATGTAAGGGTGTCAAAATTAATAATCGAGCTTGCGCATCGTAGTTTGCCTTCACTATTCCCTGCTCGGAAAGATCTATGTGAAAATGACCACTTCCCTGGGCTATGGATATGCGCTCACTGTAGTCTTTTGCAAGAAAAATGCTCACAAAATCCTTTGAGAGCAGGGTTCTGTTAATTGTGTGAAATCTGACCTCATTCTCGATTACAGGTGTGCTTGTCAATCCAGTTTTTGGCTAATGAAAGAAAAGGAAATACATTTTTAAAATTGATTATAGCCTCGACTTCTTAATAACTCACATCCTTAACTCCGAAAGGTGGTCGCTCTGCATTGATATTTAGTTGTGCTAGCAGCTTGTCCTTATAATGAGCTACAGTGCCTTTAACACGAAAATTAGATGCTATCTCGCCAATGGTCAGTACAAGAATGTCGCGACTTGGCACAATAACACCATGGATAGAATTGAGTTCCGATATTTCTGTATGTTCAATGCCATCTTTCTGATACTTTTCATCGCCCGCGGCAAATTCCCAGTCTATCGAAAGGGAGCTAATATTCATGAGTCTTCGATTGTTAGCATCCTGGACTTCGATTTCGATTTCGAACTTGTTCCCGTGGTCCTTCAAGTATAGGAACGATGAACGGTGTTCCAGAGGGCAAGATTCAAGTAGTTGCTGGCGCGCAAGTAGTTTAAGAAAACGTGGGCGTACACATCGGACCTTGGTGGTGAGCTGCGATGTGTAGGCAACAAAGCTCGACTTCATTAAGGTGTTTTGAACTTGATAAATAAACTCTGCCTCTCCCAACTTGCGGCATAACACAGTAAATGCGGTCACAAAGTTTTGAGTCTCATCCACCTCTGATACTTTAATCACATTACTGTCGAATACTGTTGTTTTCGTAAGCTCAGCTTCCAGGGTAAAAATATGTTCTGGTCCGTGAGTGAAGAGCACGTTGTGCGACGAACCGACAGGAAGTACGACTTCATTCTCTACAGGATTCAGCCCCGTTAGTCGCTCAAAGACATAAAGGTCAACGGTGTCGTACAGCTCCTTATCCTGAAAGAAATACGAGACACGGAGAGAGGTGCTACCCACGGAAGTGGCACGTAAGCGGAGCACATGACAGGCTCCTGAAGCTGGCTGATCCTCTTCTCCATTATTCTCATGTTGCAAAATTGGATGGGTAAAGACCAGTTGGAAATGAAGGTTGTCACAATTTGTATATGGAACTTCAGACTGGTTGACCTGAGTATACAAGGCCACATGCAAGAATACATAGTCATCAATAGCCGTTTCAAAATTGTACTTTTTGATTTCAATGCGCTTCGGTGGCAGAAAGTGTATTTGGGCCAAGCGGGAAATTTTTTGATTCTTGGCAAGCGTTACTTTAACAGTAGTGTGAGCAGTCAGTTTATTGCCGGCCTCAAACATTTCCTGGGTTAAAAAAGGGGGGCGCACGTCACGGATCTCGGCAGTCGCTAGGCCGTGAGCATCTACCTGCAGCACTTGCGGATTACCCGAGAACCACGCATAGTTGTAATCGCCGCCTGATGCATGAAATTGTAACTTTAAAGGCTTAATACTGCTTGGGTCATATGGAAGCACGACTGTGGTTGGTGAGAGTTTCAAGCTCTCATATATCTGGAGCTCCGCTTGTATAGAAAGCTGAAGCAAATGCAAGGACAAAGGATGGTAAATAATAAATTGTTTCAATAATCAATATAAAATCAATATGTATATTTTTTTTTAAATACGGATTTGATTACAAACCCTTTTTAATAGTAGAATTTATTAGAATTAATAGTATAGTAGTATAATTTGTTAGGGAATAGTGGAAAAGGGCACACTTACGTCTTTATATGAGCCATATACCTGGCTGACACCTTCCTTGGTAGCTTCACCAAATAGTCTGCTACCGTTTCGGGTACGTTGTCTAACGGCAAATATAGACTCATCCAATTCTGAGCCAATGGAGTAGCTAGTTCCTAAAGTAATTTGCTGTCCATCAGCAGTAAACAAGTCCAATGCGACTGTGTGGAGTTCTCCTTGCACGGTTATCCAGTTCAGATGTGGCAGCAAACTGATGCCTAGTCTACTAGGCTCTGCGACAGTTAAAAGGGCGCTAGGACCCTTGGTGGCCTTATCCGTGTCTGCCATGTTACGGTCACGTAGTATGACTTGAGTTCGGCCCAATGCCCCTCCTGTAGCACTGCTTCCTCGCAAGTATGCTATATTAGTATCTTCTATCTCCAAATAATATTGCTGACTATCTGTAATGTCGTATAAACGATCCATTTTAAGCTGCATAATGCGGAATGTTACCGAATCTCCAGCCAGGATTGTGACTTCAGATGGTTCAATAATTATATTGGCTAGCACACTTATATACACCTCGACTGGTGGCACATGTGTGTAATCAGCTTGAGGCATGCTGATGGTCACCTTGGAGGTACCTGTGTTGATTCCTTCCAAAAGAATCATATATCCCATGATTCCTTGTTCTTCAAACTTCTCTAGAGCTGGTGGAACAGTATGATACGGACTATCCGTAAAAGTGAGGTGACGCATAGCGGCGGGCTTGTTGCCTCCGGGCTCTGATATCTCCCATACAAACTCGATGCCTTCTAGCGTAAAAAATTCGTTTCCCTGCTCATCAAACGCATGAAGCTCAAACATGGCTGGAGCCTCCTCCAAGTAAAGCTGTCGGGTAGCGGTTCTAACATTAAGGCTGTCTATGACGTCTACTATCACGTCACAGCGCAGAGTCTCTCCTGACTGTTCTTCTTCAGCGAAGACTATGGCAGTGTTGCGACGTCGATCATTGGTACGCACTGTAACCACCGCTTGGTAAGCACATTCGCTAAAGCCATGGTAAACTGGCATCACTGATATTAAGTCCTGACGCGACGAAGTCCTGCAGATTCATGGAAAAAAAATTAACTCAACGATCGGCAAGGGACGCCAACCTACCATTTGTAACAGTTTTGCTCATCAACCTCTAGGGTAAAGTTGACGGCCTTACCCTGGAAAATGGGCAGCAGAACACGTGGATGGTTAAGTCTGGCTCCATTTACAACGATGCTTTTTGCTAAAATAAGCAAAATTAATCCAAAAATGCCGGGTTCCATTTCGGCGGAAAACGAGAAACACGCTGTTAGCGATGGCACATACCGCAGTGTTACCAAAATGTTCCCCAAATGTTATCGACTAGTCTCGAGCCTGGATTCGCCATCTGGCAACACTGCCGGTTTAAAGGTAAATATTTTCAATGATTATCACTTATTTATCTTATCACTTGACGTTTTCGTAATGTGAAAGTTTTTTTTGAACAGCATTTTAATTAGAACCTTTGCCGCCACAACAACCTAAAAATGAAAAACACCGGGTAACTGCAACTTTGATTTAATAGCCACTTAATATGTATGAATTCAATCTTTTAGAAAACTACGGGGAAAAACTTTGTTTATCACAGGCGCCTCACGAGGAATTGGCAAAGCCATAGCACTCAAAGCTGCTCGTGATGGAGCCAACATAGTTATCGCGGCAAAGACAGCCCAGCCGCATTCTAAACTAGAAGGCACCATCTATACCGCTGCAGACGAAAGTAAGTGCTAGCATTGGAATTTGACTTTTGTACCTGTACTTTGGTTGCTCCGCAGTCGAAAGGGCAGGAGGGCGGGCGCTGCCTTGCATAGTCGACGTGCGCGACGAGAAGCAGGTGCTTCAGGCAGTGGAGGCCGCCGTGGCTACGTTTGGGGGCATCGATATCGTGGTTAATAATGCCAGTGCCATTTCCTTGACGGGCACCTTAGACACTGATATAAAACGGTACGACCTTATGCAAAATATAAACACTAGGGGAACATTTCTAGTGTAAGTATATGGGTTGTGGCTTAATTCAATGTGTCAATCCATCTTTCTAAAATCAAACTCCACAGGTCGAAGAGCTGTCTGCCCTATCTGCTTAAAAGTGATAATCCGCACATTCTAAATCTATCGCCACCACTAAATTTAAACCCGCGATGGTTCGCCAATCATACTGCTTACACCATCGCCAAGTATGGCATGTCAATGTGCGTTTTGGGCATGTCAGAAGAATTCCGCAGTTTGGGCGTCGCTGTGAACGCCCTTTGGCCACGTACCACAATCCACACAGCAGCGGTGGAAATGCTCAACGGACCCGAAGGAGCCCTTTATTCCCGAAAACCCGAAATCATGGCTGATGCGGCATATGCAATAATCTGCCGGGACGCAACAGATTATACAGGAAATTTTTTTATTGACGATGAAGTTCTTGCCGACATTGGTGTAAAAGATCTTATACAGTATGCTTGCTACCCTGAAAACATTCACCTTTTATCTACGGATATATTTCTTGACGAAACTGAGCCGAAGGCCAAATTATAAAAATGAGTAGCAATAGTGATTGTAAAAGAAATTATGTAAATATTTAAATATGAAATAGATAGATATTTGTACCTCTCTTTGCATGAAGTTTATAAAAAGGAGTGAACAAACCATGTTTAGCTTCCTGTTAAAAAATATCACGTTACATAGTTCAATAAATTCATTATGCATGTCCAATTCAACATACCAATTTATATTTATTCATATATTATTTTTCATATACTATATTCAAATGAATTTTTCATAAATATAAATTAATTATATTTTTCAAAATAGAGTAGAGTACAAGGCTATATTGTAGGAATCATCTTCGACTCCATAAAGTATATACATTTTTAATCAGCATCAATAGTTGAGTCGATATAGCCATGTCCGTCTGTCCGTCCGTCCGTAGATCTCAGAGACTAAAAACGATAGAGCCAGAGGATTGGGAATGGTGACTCCTACAATATCCACGCAGCTCAAGTTTGTTTGATATTTGCCACCCAAAATTCCGAATTTCTGTAGCTCTAGTACTGGAAGGTTTTTTGAAAAACTTTTGATGCCAAACAAATTCTATGTTTAATATACATATAACTGAAAAACAAATTTAATCGAAATCGGCCGATTTTTAGAGGAGATATACTCATATACATATATACAATTTCCCATAAAAACGGGCTAAAATTTTGAACGCTTGGAACATGGGATTGTATGATATCAAGAAGATCAAGTTTATCGAAAAATTTTGCCACGTCCACTCCCGCCCCCAAAACATAAATCTGGTGCGTTCGTTAATGTTTTTGAAAAATTTTTTAATGCCAAACTGTTCCAATGGCTAATCTACACCTACAAATTAAAATGCAGTCAAATCGGATAATTTTTAAAGATGTTATAGACTTTTTGTTCAAAAGTGTGCAACGCAGTGAATGAGACAACTCCGACCCTATAAAGTATATATATTATTGATCCGAATCATTTCCTGAGTTGATATAAGCACGTCAGTTTGTCCGTCTGTCTGTAAGTATAAGTATCTGTCAGTATATCAGTTCCAAGCGTCGGACTATGTCCTATAGCTGCAATATAACAGACCAAATTTCATAAGGATCGGCCGCCTATAACTTATAGCTGCCATAAAACTGAAAGATCGGAAATAGTTTTTGGTAGAAATACCAACTTTGGTATTTTTGAATATAGAAGCTTTCGACTTTTTTTTAGATATTTTATTGTAATTAATTGATTTTATTATGATATTCTCATAAGGATCGGAATAAGGATTTAACTGCAAGGGTATAGCAACTTCGGATCGGCCCGAAGTTAGCTTTACTTTCGTGTTTTTAAATTGAATTAAGTTCCGGTCGAGTATGTCGTTCGCAAACTTAGTATTAAGCTTAGATAATAGGTAAATTAAAATCACCCGTTAAGTAAATAGTTTCGTTAATTTTTATGCGATATTTTTGTGACACTGGAATAAAGATATTCGTAGAAAGTCTGCAAACATACAATAAGTCGCGAAAATGAAATAATTAGTCTGAAGTTCAGTTTCTGAATACTTTGTGACATTTTTCTCTTTGTCGAGAAAAAAATATCCCCATTCAGCCACAAATTCTTTTGCAATACCATTCAGATTATTCATAGTTCAAAAATATAAAAAAATTTTTTATGACGTTTTCGGAGGAATGCCATGGTAGACTAGAAAGAGGCCATTACCAACGTTTTGAAAAGTTGGTAGCATCGGCATCACTATTTGATGTATCGATAAGAAATTGTTAGTGTGGCCAGTAGGATCTTTTTCAGACCTTTGTGTTTATCAGAAAAATAATTTGGGTGAATTGCAAGGTGAACGAAAAATCGTTCAGATTGTCATATTCAATAAAATATTACTTTTACTTTTTTCTGACTAAATTATATTTATTATATTATATATTTTTCCTAGTCATTTAGGTTGTTTCCCCCCTGGATGCAATTCGGGTTAAAATTAGCAGCCCTGGAAAGCGAACAGCTGTGTTTTGTGTTTTGGTATTGTATTTTGTGCGGTAAGAGTTGCAAAAGACAACGTGCCTTGAAATAGAAAATAAATCAAATTTTGTTGCCAGTTAAAAATTAGACACGGTATCATGTTACATTTGAGTCGCAATGCGAGTTACAGCATCTGCCGCCGGAGTTTTTATCGATCAGTATCCACATGGACGCCATTGACTACGGCTTTTAATACTCTGCCTACCAAACGGATCAACTTCACCCGGGACGATGTGGTAAATGCAATACTTCTTCACATTTTTCGCCAAGCATTCAATTATGCATTTTCCTTGCAGGGCCTCTTTCGACTGCCAGAGTTGCGTAGCTCCGAAGGTTTTTACTTACTTCGGGACAATGTGGAAAGCAGGACGCAGGAACTCATTGAGGAAGCCATCTCCCAGCAACGGATCAGAAAGATGGTCGATATTTTCGACGAACTCTCCGATTCGCTGTGCAAAGTAGCCGACTTGGCGGAGTTTGTAAGGATCGCGCATCCAAAGCGCAAGTACACTCAGTCTGCAGAGGAAGCCTGCATCAGTATTTGCAGTGTGGTCGAGAGCCTTAACACACATAAGCCACTTTACCAAGCATTGAGTAAAGTCGTTCAACATGGCGATACGCAGCCCACCAGCGAAGTTGACCAGCATGTGGCGAGACTGTTCTTATTTGACTTTGAGCAGTGCGGAATTCACCTTCCAGAACAAGAGCGCCTGCGAGTGGTCAGACTTAATGACGCGATTCTCCAACTGGGCCAAAAGTTTATGAACGGAGCAGTACAGCCTAGCATTCTTCCGCGTAGCTATGTTCCAGAGGCCATCAGAAATTAGTAAGAGTGTAAAATATTTTTCATTATTTGACTTAACAATTTATGTTCAGTTTTCCCACCTCAGGTGAAAATGTTATAATCACAGGCCTGTGTACAAATGCAGAAAATGTACGAATGCGAGAAGCGGCTTACCGGCTATACCTTCAGCCATTCGAAACTCAGGAGAGTTTGCTAAGAGACCTGCTGCTTTGCCGTTATGAGCTTGCCCGTAGCTGTGGATTTGAAACTTACGCTCATCGCGCTCTCAACGGCAGCACAATGGAGCGGCCCGAAAGGGTCCAAGAATTTATTGATGTGCTGTCAGAGAAACTGCGGCCACGCGCTGACGCAGATTTTGCACTTATGTCCGAAATGAAGCAACGGGAGAGCGGAGAAGTCGGCGTTTTTGTTGAAGTTTGGGATACACCTTACTTTACAACCCAGTTAAAGCGGCAATCACTTGAGGAACAGGCCAACGAATTTCTCCCGTATTTCTCATTAGGTGGCTGTATGGACGGCCTGGACAACCTACTGCATGCTCTTTATGGCGTTCGCCTGCAAAACACTGACATGGAGCCAGGCGAGTCCTGGCATAACGACATCTACAAACTGGCCGTGGTTCACGAGGAAGAAGGACTTTTGGGTTACATTTACTGTGACTTTTTTGAACGAGCAGGAAAGCCCAATCAAGACTGCCATTTCACCATCCAAGGGGGAAAACGTCTGCCCGACGGCACCTACCAATTGCCCATTGTGGTGGTAATGTTGGGACTGCCGCAGCCCCGCTGGAGCGGTCCAACACTTTTATCTCCTGCTCGAGTGGACAACTTGTTTCATGAAATGGGTCATGCCATGCACTCGATGCTAGCCCGTACAGAATACCAGCATGTGACGGGTACGAGATGTTCCACCGACTTTGCGGAGGTTCCTAGCGTACTCATGGAATACTTTGCCGGCGATCCGCGGGTGCTACGCACTTTTGCTCGACATTTTCAAACTAACGAACCCATTCCAGAGAACATGTTGCGGCGACTGTGTGCCTCCAAACATTTGTTTGCAGCCAGCGAGACACAGCTGCAGGTTTTCTATTCGGCGTTGGATCAAAAGTATCATTCAACAGCGTCACAGTTGAGTGGCAGTACTACAGAAATGTTACGAAAGGTTCAGGGCCGGTACTATGGTCTGCCTTTCGTGGAAAACACCGCCTGGCAGTTGCGATTCTCCCATCTGGTCGGCTACGGCGCAAAATACTACTCATATCTAGTCTCAAAGACTATCGCTTCATGGATATGGCAGACGTACTTTGAGGCGAACCCTTTCAATCGGCAGGCTGGAGAGAAATATCGGAAAGAGATCCTAGCTCACGGAGGAGCTGTACCCAGCCGCAAGCTGGTGGATAATTTCCTTCAACGTGATATGACACCAAATGTACTGGCTGATAGCCTAATCACAGAGATTGATTCAAACGAATCTAAGATTAAGGATCTAATAATCAGTAGGAACTAATCCGTATAATACATTTATATTTATGGTTTATTTATTATACTTAGTTAACTTTAACGTCCCTATTTGTACGTGTCGAATTTAGTTTTGGTTCTATGACTAGGCTGGCCCCAGTGCAGGCATCAGCTCCACGCCCACGAACTCCTTGGCCAAACGCACTCCCAAGAAAAACAGGCCATAGCTCTTGACCAGCATCCTACGAAAAGCCAGAGGAAATTTTGGTTATGTAAAATATCCGCGAGGCCGGCTTTACCTACTTACCATTGGAACTCATTATTATAAATGCTGCGCAATATGTTTAGAGGGTTTGAAGACTTAACCATTTTGATCTGGGTTAATGAACTTTTCAGTTTGAATTTAGTATGTATTTTTAATTGCACGTTGAAAATATGAAATGTTGTTCCTAGACTTCTTGGATGGGCAGGATTGTCAGGTAATCTTTTGAGAGTGACCTTTTATCAGTGTCGCACAACACCAGAAGCTTGTGCTGCCACATTTTTGAATTCGGGGCTTATTCAACACTATATTATTTTCCACAGCACCGCACTGAGTTGCACGTGTTTATTTTGAATTAACAATTTCGAAGCCAGAATATGAGTGACGATCATAAAAATGTTGAAATGGAGGTGGTCGAGCCTGAGGACGCAGAGAGTGACGATGAGGACAGTGATAGTGATGCGACCGACGAGAAGCAGGCCAGAGAAGTATATTTGCCGGGGAAGAAACTTGCTGACGACGAGGAGCTGGTCTGCGATGAAAGCGCATATCTGATGCTGCATCAGGCCTCGACTGGAGCGCCCTGCTTGAGTTTTGACATTATCCCCGACGAACTTGGTGACAGTCGGGAATCTTTTCCATTGACTGCTTACGTTGTGGCTGGCACTCAGGCGGACCACAATCATTCGAACAACTTGATCGTGATGAAGTTAAGCAACTTGCAAAAAACTCAGGACGATGAAGATGAAGAGGAGGAATTGGAAGACGATCAGGATGACGTGGCCGACCGCTTGGAGCTCAAGAAGCCGCTGATGAGCTGCGCCCTAATCAAACACCAGGGATGTGTTAACCGTGTACGGGCCCGCCGATTGGGGAACACAGTGTATGCGGCTTCTTGGAGTGAACTTGGAAAGGTCAACATTTGGAACTTGACACAAGCGCTGCAGGCCGTCGAGGATGAGCAGCTAGCTAAACAGTATGAACAGAACGCGACACGGCCGGTTTATTCGTTTAGTGGGCACAGAGAGGAGGGCTACGCCTTAGACTGGAGTCCTATTGCCGAGGGAGTTTTGGCTACTGGAGATTGCCGTCGAGATATTCACATATGGAGTCCCCTTGAAGGCGGCACTTGGAAAGTCGATCAGCGTCCTTTGGTGGGACATAATCAGTCCGTCGAAGACCTGCAGTGGAGTCCCAGCGAGCGCAGTGTTTTAGCTTCTTGCTCTGTGGACAAGTCAATCCGCATATGGGATTGTCGAGCTGCTCCACAGAAGGCCTGCATGCTGACCTGTCAGGACGCCCATGAGAGCGACATCAATGTTATTTCGTGGAATCGTTCCGACCCATTTATCGTAAGTGGGGGCGATGACGGATTTTTGCATATTTGGGACTTGCGTCAGTTTAAGAGTCAGAAGCCCATCGCCACATTCAAGCACCACACAAGCCACATTACGACAGTAGAATGGAGTCCCAGGGAAGCGACTGTTCTGGCTTCGGGAGGTGAGGACGATCAGATAGCTTTATGGGATTTGGCAGTCGAAAAAGATCTGGACCAGACGCAGGATTCCGAACAAAACGAGGACGAAATAAACAATCTTCCGCCGCAATTGCTTTTTATTCATCAAGGTCAAAAGGAGATTAAAGAGCTGCACTGGCACCCCCAGCTTCCAGGAGTGCTGTTGTCCACTGCCCACAGTGGATTTAATATTTTCAGAACCATTAGCGTATAAATACAAAACAGACTCAATAAAATTTGGAAATATTTTGTTGTAAACCTTGCTTTTACCTGTTTAAAAAAGAACCCATTGTCTAATTTCACTGTCATAAATTTAACATTGCTATGTATTGCTCCGTTAAATTGCACAGGCCAACAGCAAACAATCACCACACTGAATCAAAGTCCAAAAGAAAAATAGGCCATTACCCCATTCAATAAGTATTGGAGGGTACTATACCGTTGCGAAAATAACAATCTTAATCAAAACAATCTTAAATAATAATTGTTGTTATGATTGTGATTTTAAAAATCCCTTAATAATGATTATTCTTGGTTTTTAATTTAATTTAATTTATTTAATTTGAATTTCTATCAAAATTAATCATTTATGTCTAACTCGAAAATGTTACTCATTAAAGATTTTGCTATTTATTAATATTATTATTTTTGCACTACCACCCCTCCCATACCATTAAATTTCAAGTTGAATCAAGCTTTCATCGGTATTTGTTTGTAAAATTGAAACTGATCAAAGGTGTACTCCTTCAAGCGTATTCGTACCAAAATTGTAATTGAATGATCAAAGACTACAATTACATGATATAAACAAATCATTGAGTGATAAAATCATGTTATTAAATGGTATACCTGTATATACTTGTTCTATGGTCATGATCTAATGTATTGCTATCAAATATCCAGAAAACGTAATTAATACGTAGCCCGAAATTAAAAAATGAGTGATATTTTTGAGCGAAAAAAATAAAAATCAACAATAATGATAATGATTATTTTTTCGTTCAAAGAATAATGATTTTCTTAGATTTTTTGAGAATAATGATTTTGTTTTTTATTATATTTTTTCTCTGATAAAAATGATTATCTGGGATCAGAAAAAATAAAACTCAAATAATGAATAATTTGTGATTTTTAATAGAAATACTGTTTGTTACTTCTTTACCCATACCTTTATCCAGTTAAGTTTGATCAGCATCAACCGCCGAGTCTATGAACGCGTAGATATCAGAGACTATTGAGAGTCATAGGATTTGGGATGGAGACTCCTATAATGGCCATGCAGTTCAAGTTTGTTTCAAATGGTTGCCACGCCCCTTTCCGCCCCATAAATCGAAAATTTCTGTAGTTACAGTACAGGAAGGTTTTTAAAAAAACATTTGATACCAAACTATTTGTTTGGTTCCAGATATTTCCAGATATAGTTAATTTATATCTGGAAAACAAATTAAATATACCAATATATATACCCACGCCCACTTCTACCTCTAAAACGGAAATCTCCAGTTCATTGTTCGTTAATGTTTTTGGGAAATGTGTTAATGCCAAATTAATTCAATGGCCGATTACTTTAATAAGTAAAGATTAATTATTTTATGCCAAAAAAAAATTATTTTTTTAATTAAAATTATCGATAATTAAATCGATAAAATCGAGAAATATCGAGTTGCCCTTCAGAAGGGAAGCAGAAGAAAAAGTGTATAACTTCTCTTAAAATTGTCCGAATTTTGATTTTGTGTTTATGAATAAGGTGTCGGTGTATAATATAAATATTTCCAATACGCCTAACCCTAATCAATATGGTGTAATCAATTTAGATTCTAAGGCCATCAAGAATAGAACGTTTTACACACCCGTCTTTCTCTTTCCACAAGTAAATAACGGTCGACTGTATCTTTTGGTTGCCGAGCTGGGCGATAGAAAAATCTTTGGTGTTGGCTGGGCCTCATTTAGTAAGGGTCGGCTAACTATGTTTATCCTATTACGACCGAACGATCGAAATGTAATGATTCAGATAGAAGCTTGGGTCTTGCCTTGGTAGTTGACAAAACTCGAAGGTTTTAAATTTTTGCTTTACTACTGCCGTTCGATTCTGGCCGTTTTCACTTTTGAAAGTTAAAACACAAAAAATTGAAATTTCATGCTCTGGATTCTGGAATCCAATTCTAAAATCAGTTAATTTACATTGTCGGGTCAGCATGCAGTAACCACCTAGCTTTGTAATAAAAATTGAAATGTTTATATACCTTTATCTTATATAATGTTACCTTTATTTAAAATTATAATTTTTGAAATAAATTAAATTAACTAAATTAAATAAAATTTTTTTTTTATTTGTAATGTTCTTAGAACTATTAACTATAAAAAGTTGTGTATATATAACTATAACCAAAAACAATGTGGAACAATTAAATATTTACTTTAAAATACATTTTTGTGCCATTTTTATTATGCAAACAATTACTTGACAAACTAATACAATACAATTACAGTCAAGTCCCGATAATTCGAAATGGCAAGGGGATCACTTTTTTTACGAATTAGACGGGAATTCTATTTATCGAGATTTCTATTTAACGGGGCTCAAAAATGAAAGAGTCGAATAAACGGGGTTTTTACATATCACATTATGTTTATAATGTATTTATCTTAATTAAAATTAAACAAACATTATAAGTGTGTACATTTTTCAAATGGGGGGAAAACAATAACATTAAATTGTAAAAATAAAAAATTAAAAAATTAAGCAGGAACACTAAATTATAAAAAAAAAAAATTCAAGCTTTAAAATAATTGGTAATTTTTGGTAACAGCACACTAAACGAAAACAGTAAGAGAAACACAAAGTTCATGATGCATAGCGACATAAAGGCGGCATAGCTGTCTGAAAAATCTAACGGTGCTTTAACTACAAAAAATTTCGCATCGCATTACGATTTATAAGAGGTTACGAAATAAAATTACGATTTACATATAAGAGGTTCAATACTCTTTGCGTTGCGCCAAATACTACGAGGGGAAATACTACTACGAATTAACGAGGGGACCAAAATGTATGGAATTTTTACGAATTAACGAGTTTTTTTCAAGGGGTCAGAATTTTTTACGAATTATCGCGATTTTCGATTTAGCGGGGTACGAATTATCGGGATTCGACTGTATATTGTATTATATACAATTACTTGTATATAGTTTATATCTTATAGCCTTCGTTGATCGCAAGTCAACTATCACTTGGCCGTTCGACTTCAACGAGCTTTAGCCTCGCAAGTATCCGAGTCGTTTTTATCCACGCTCGTTTTTATACCCTTGCAGAGGGTATTCTAATTTTTTCTATTCTCTTTTTGTTTTCACCATAAATTGGCGTTTCTGTATGATCACCCCAATTTCATATGCGAAAAAATTAAGATTATTATAATGTTGTAGTTGTTAAATACGACTTTCTTATTTGGAGTGGATTAAACAGTCATTGAAAAATCTAATCTGTGTTATAAGTTGTTAATGTCTATCTGTTAGTCTAAAAAGGAATCTACTATCGTCGATGTAAACCTAAACGATGTATACAAGCCCCCAATTAAAAGCTTAGATTATCTTTTATCAGTAGTTTTTTTTTTTTTATAGAAGTCATAGATTTATATTGTGATAAGTTTTGTCGAGGATGTACGATGAGTAGGCGTAGGATTAGTTGCCGGTGTAAGAGATACGCCGTACTCTTGAACGGAATCCATTGGCGACAAGTGGGGCTACGTCAGAGGGACTTTTTCCACGCGTCTCGGGCAAATAGTACTTCGTTAACACATAGAGAAGGAGGCACGTGATTGAAAACGGCAAGAAGACTAAAGCTCCCCATGCGTTCTGCAGCGTGGGAAAGCCCATTCCTATAATAAAATTACAAGACCAGTAGACTACGCTTCCTAAAGCCATTGCGGCGGGTCGGGGCGCCTGCTCGAATAATTCTGTTGAGTGAATAGAGGCATGTTATTATATAACAGTTATGATATTATAAGAGTTTTTAATTAGCCAACGAACCTGCTCCGATAAAAAAGGGCATGGGCCCAAGACCAAACTGAAAGAAAAATATGTACAAGAATATGCACCCAATGCAACCTATGGCGAACCAGCTGACGCTTTCCTGCAAGACCAACGGGTTAAGTTTGATGTACCATATTCTTCCATCATACTCACGATAAAATAAAGCAACATAGCGAACAAAAATAGAAAGACGGTACATAGGAGGGTGGAGAACAGCATCAGCGGACGCCTGTTGACCCTTTCTAGGAGAACCGGACCCACCATCGAGGTGGCCAGATTAAGGGAGCCCGCCGCGAGGTTAGCCCACTCCGATGCCTGCGGTGTCAAGCCCGCTTTTCGAAATATAGACACAGAATAGTAAAATATCTATCGCGAAGAGACGTTAATGGATTAGGGATACATAGACGTGTTGGTAAAAACACCCACTGCGTTTATGCCGGATAACTGCTGACCGCCAAGAAAGGCGCACACAATTATGAGTGGCAGGCGCAGCCTAGAGTCGCGGATCACTTCGAGAAAGCCACTTGTCGCCGCCTTAGAAGTGGCTTCCAATTCCATTTCGTCCAATTCGGCCTGCAGGGTGGTGCTGTCCACGGCATATCCCCGGAGCTGCATCAGTTGTCGCCGGGCCTCCTCTTTGCGGCCCTTCACGATATATAGCCATTTGGGGCTCTCCGGGTACCATTTGAAAGGAGCATAGAAAAGAACCACCAGAAGTCCATAGAAAGCCAATCCCAGGTGCCAATACTCGTTTCCGCCAAGCAACGACCGCAGACTGCAGATTTGTGACACAACGACGCCCAGCGTCAGTCCCATTGGACATAACGGAGCCAAAGTGCTTCGTTGGGATAGTGCAGCGAGTTCACTATGCCACATAGACATGAATGCTGTAACGAGACCACCAGCCAGTCCAACTAACAGTCTTCCGCAAAGCAATAGTTCCACCGATCGCAATGGACGGCACGCATAGAAGCAGGCGGCCCCCAGGGCGAGAAGGATGCCGCAGATGTGAAAGCAACCCCGTCTTCCAAAGCGATTGGCCACAGTGGCCCCCGTTACGGATCCCAAGGCTCCTCCCACAAGGAACAGCGAGACGGCTGCCGACCAAAGAAGTTCTATTCCTGCGTCGCCTACGTGGAGATCGTACCGATGGGCCAGAGTTTCCTTGCACCAGGTGCGCATGAGCTAAGCGATAAATAATTTAAATTAGGAAGTTAGGAAACGGAGGTTTGGTTTTGTGTTGTACAATGGAAAAATTGCGATCTAACAACTATTTTTTGCAGTATGCAATGTTTTTCAAAAATCTGACATTTTTCACTGGTTTCTAATATAATTTTGGAGTATTGTTTAATTTAACAGTTTTTCTTGATCGAGATTCCTCTACTCTTCTTTCGTATGTTTTCGGCTCCTAAATCCAATAAATGTCACTTTTTAACTTATGGCCTATGGCCTTTGAACTTTTACCTTTTTAATTAGTTCGAAACATATATGTACATACATGCATTGTGTTACATACACAAGCTTTAGGTATAAAAAATTGTAGTTCTCGCTGTTTTTGACAAAACTGTTGTATTTCACCGAAAACCAATGTAATTCATATATACATTTTGGAGTCAAACGTTTTTCACAAATTTTTTGGAACTTACCTCAGCAGGGCTATTCATTACCCCTGTACAGTAACCCACAGGTACTGCAGCTCCAAGAGAAGAACCGATCGCCGCCCACTTCAGGGTCCAGCTCCACTGAGGATGTTCTTGCTGCAAAGGGAGAAATTAGTGGAGAGTCCTGGAAAATTTCCCAGTATCGTACCAAAGATGGCTTTCTTTGTGCCATTAGTGGCGTCTGTGTGGTACTTGGTGTTCTGTCAAGTCGCTGCCCTCTGGCTTTCTGCTGCTCCATGACGCTTTTGATGCGAAAATTGTTTCCTATGGAAGCTTTTGACGGTAAACCGTGCTGGGTAATGGACCATCGCCAAATGGAGTGTCATATTTCATTTGGGTTTCCCGGCGTCTTATTTCTACAGGAAGATTAGGAATTTTACGAGACACAGATAATACTTCCAAAGTCATAAGAATACGCAAAGGGCAACCAAGACTGGAAGAAATCACACGAGAGGTTTATATGAGAGGCTGTTTCTTATAGTCTTTCTTTGAAAAAAAAACCAACAATATTTTTTGCTACTGTAGAACTATTGAGTAATTTAACTTCTAATCCGTTTTAAGCGTGGGTGTTAAAATTATCACGATTCTAATGAATGAAAATAAGCGCCTAAGATGCTGCATCGCATCCATAGAAGTCCCATTAAAAGAACGGATTCCGTTTATCTTCTATTTGCGTTATCGTTTGGTATGGGCAATAGTAACTTGGAAAGTAAACACGTGTGAAAGTCAAACAAATAAGAAAGCTATCTATCATCTTAGTGGTATGTACATACATTCATACATATGTAAATAACCTTGGATAAAAATATTATACCCGGAACTCATATGTTCCAACCACACATTAACTAAAGTTTAAAACAGTTTTGCCCAAAACACTATCACACGTCGTTGGAATTCTGTTGTAAAATCTCTTCATCTTCGTTCTCCAGTTTGAAACTCAAATTTAATTAAAAATAAATCATCGGAATACACTAATACTTTGTTTACCCAGTTTTCGTGCGGACATGCTAGCTGCCTGGATTAACAAACTTGTGTTTCCTTCTTCAGGCACCACAAGATCTACAACGTGTTTTCTTTGAGCCGTAAGTTTTTACAATGTAGGCTAATGCAGGCTTGAAATACTTTTGCATTTGATCGGTTATTCTTCCATTTTGTCGCTGAGTGAAAACATATTTCTTAACTAGCATTCATAAAAATCCTTAATTATACCCTTGCAGAGGGTATTATAATTTTGTCCAAAAGTGTGCAACGCAGTGAAGGAGACATCTCCGACCCTATAAAGTATATATATTCTTGATCAGGATCACCTCCTGAGTTGATATGAGCATGTCCGTCTGTCCTTCTGTCCTTCTGTCCGTCTGTCCGTCTGTCTGTCTGTCTGTTTCTACGCGAACTAGTCTCTCAGTTTTAAAGCTATCGATTTGAAACTTTGCACACACACTTCTTTTCTTTGCACGCAGTATATAAGTCGGAACGACCGGGATCGGTCGACTATATCGTATAGCTGCCATATAACTGATTGATCGGAAATGGTATAACTTTGGTGTTTTTAGAGTTAGAGAGTTCAAATTTGACATGAAAGCTATCTTTGGCAAAACCTTACGACGTGCCAAATTTCATAAGGATCAGCCGACAATATCCTATATCTGCCATATAACTGAACGATCGGAAATGACCCAACTTTCGTGTTTTAGAAGATAGAAACCTGGAATTTAGTACAGATTCTATTTTTGGTCAGTTGATCCAAACTACCAAATTTCATTAGGATCGGCCGACTATATCCTATAGCTGCCATATAACTGAAAGATCGGAAATAGCATTTGGTAGAAATATCAACTTTCGCATATTTGAAGATAGAAGCTTGGGACTTTTTTTTAGATTTTTTATTTTAGTCAATTGGTTTTATTATGATATTCTCATAAGGATCGGCCAACTGTATTCGATGTTTGCGATATATATTCGGTTTTAACTGCAAGGGTATATCAACTTCGGCTCCGCCCGAAGTTAGCTTTCCTTTCTTGTTTTTTCCTGATATATTGCAAAAAGTTTTATTTTTAAACAAATCCATAATTTCTTTCTCCATAATTAATAATTGGATGCTTGAGTCTTCACTGACTTCTATACTGCAAAAAATTCCGAATTGTTGAATTTGAGGTTCTGAAAATTACAAAAAAGGGGCTGAAACTGACAGTTTTCATTATTATACCCTTGCAGAGGGTATTATAATTTTGTCCAAAAGTGTGCAACGCAGTGAAGGAGACATCTCCGACCCTATAAAGTATATATATTCTTGATCAGGATCACCTCCTGAGTTGATATGAGCATGTCCGTCTGTCCGTCTGTCCGTCTGTCTGTTTCTACGCAAACTAGTCTCTCAGTTTTAAAGCTATCGTCTTGAAACTTTGCACACACCCTTCCTTTGCACGCAGTATATAAGTCGGAACGGCCGGGATCGGCCGACTATATCCTATAGCTGCCATATAACTGATTGATCGGAAATGGTATAACTTTGGGGTTTTTAGAGTTAGAGAGTTCAAATTTGACATGAGAGCTATTTTTATCAAAATATTACGACATGCCAAATTTCATAAGGATCGGCCGACTATATCCTATAGCTGCCATATAACTGAACGATCGGAAATGACCCAACTTTCGTGTTTTTGAAGATAGAAAGCTGGAACTTGGTACAGATTCTATTTTTGGTCAGTTAATCCGATCTACCAAATTTCATAACGATCGGTTGACTATATCTTATAGCTGACATATAACTGAACGATCGGAAATGGTATTTGGTAGAAATATCAACTTTCGTATTTTTGAAGATAGAAACTTGGGACTTTTTTTTAGATTTTTTATTGTAATTAATTGGTTTTATTATGATGTAATAATAAGGATCGGCCAACTATATCCGATGTTTGCGATATATATCCGGTTTTAGCTGCAAGGGTATATCAACTTCGGCTCCGCCCGAAGTTAGCTTTGCTTTCTTGTTTTTCATATACAATCGAAAAATAATTAATTGCTCTACAACGTACAATAGGTTTCAAGGTTGGACTATGCTGGCCTCACTTTCTACCCCTTTTAAAAAATGAGATTTCTATGCAAAGGTGTTGTCTGGACTATATTGCACTGCACTATGCAGCCAACAACCTATATTGTACCCAACAACAATATTAGCCATTGGAATAGTTTGGCATAAAACCATGGGCGTGAGAAAATATGGGCCAACATGATTTTCGGGGACTCCTATGGTAAGTCCAAGTTCCATATCGAATAGTTCGATCTCTTACAGTCTTCGAGGTCCATGCATTCAAAATTGTAGCACGTTTGTATGGGAGTTGATATATAAATATATATATATATATACATATATATCCCTGCGGGCAGCAGTACTCAAGCCACTATATTAGAATTAGAAAGAATTCGAAATTTTCTGAATGAATCATATACCAATGAAATGTAGGGCTCTAATTAGATAATTTTTTTCAAACCATTTTTCAAAAGTCAATAAGTAATGTGAAATGATTGTAATTTACAAAATCGGGCCGAGTGGGCCGGCCGAGTCTACAGACAAAAAATATTTCTCTAAAACCAACCTAATTTAAATAAAATTACTAAATCAACCCAAACAAGAAAGGAAAGCTAACTTCGGGCGGAGCCGAAGTTTATATACCCTTGCAGTTAAAACCGGATATATATCGCAAACATCGGATATAGTTGGCCGATCCTTATCTGAATAGGAATATATAATCCAATTTATTACAATACAAAATCTAAAAAAAGTCCCAAACTTCTATCTTCGAAAATACGAAAGTTGATATTTCTACCAAATACCATTTCCGATCGTTCAGTTATATGGCAGCTATGAGATATAGTCGGCCGATCCTAATGAAATGCGGTAGGTTGGATTAACTGACAAAAAATAGAAAGCTGTATTAAATTCCAGCTTTCTATCTTCAAAAACACGAAAGTTGGGTCATTTCCGATCGTTCAGTTATATGGCAGCTATTGGATATAGTCGGCCGATCCGGGCCGTTCCGACTTATATACTGCGTGCAAAGGAAAGAAGGGTGTGTGCAAAGTTTCAAGACGATAGCTTTAAAACTGAGAGACTAGTTCGCGTAGAAACAGACAGACGGACAGACAGACGGACAGACGGACATGCTCATATCAACTCAGGAGGTGATCCTGATCAAGAATATATATACTTTATAGGGTCGGAGATGTCTCCTTCACTGCGTTGCACACTTTTGACCAAAATTATAATACCCTCTGCAAGGGTATAAAAAGCAAGGAAAGCTACCTTTACAGTTAAGATCGAACATAAATATCAAATATGAAATATATTGAATTACAAATATGAATTTCATGACCGTTATGAAAACTTTATTATAAAATTAAGTTTTTAGAAAAAAAAACGTCCCGAGATTCTATCTTCAAAAATACCAAAGTTGGGATTTTTACCAAATACCCAAATACCATTCCCGATTTCTCATTTATATGGCAGCTATAGGATATAATCGGTCAATCCCTTTGTAACTGGTATGTCGTGCCAAAAATTTTGCTCCAACACCTCTACCTCTAAAAACACCAAAGCTATGAGATTTCCGATCAATCAGTCATGTGGAAGCTATAGGATATAGACAGCCGATCGCTGCCGTTTCGACTTTATACTGCGTCCAAAGGAAATAAGAATGTGTGAAAAGTTCAAGGTCGATAGCTTTAAAACTGAGAGACGTGGAAACACACGGACCGAAATGCTTATATCATTTCAGGAGGTGATCTTGATCAAGAATACCCCATAAAGAGCGACAAGAGCCTATCTTATTGAACATGAAAATAACTCAAAAAAACGCTCTTCTGTAAAATTTTCTTTTTGGTGCTTACGTTGTTTTTGCAAATATATACGTTGTTTTTGCTCGATATATTTTTGATTAGCATCAACAATCGTGTGCGTATACATAAGTAGGCATGTCGTCCATCTGTCTGTATGAACGCGTGGATCGCAGAGACTATAAAAGATGGAAACTCCTTTAAAACCCACAAAGTTTAAATTGCATGTTTCTGTAGCGCCAGTACAGGAGTACACCTAAAAAACAAAATTCAACCAAATCCGCGGATTTTTAGAGGATATGTGGACACTTATACGATTTTCCGATTCCCATACTTCATGGCGAAATGCTTACGCGTGGATAAAAGATAAATGAGAATAAAACTATCCGATTTGGAACATGGGCTCAAGTTTGGGTAAAAATTTTGCAACGCTTAATCCCTCCCCAAAAACTGAAATCTTGAAT